AGGCTCATAGTCATAGCTTTAGATCCAGAAGTAATTAGTTCATTCATCTCATCATTTACTCAGACATTAGTTCTTGTTAGTTCATTAGTTCATTAACTTCATTATTCACTTCTTGGAGTCAAGAAGAAATCAAGAAGGTTCAAAAAAACACATTTAAACAAAAAAAATCTTCAGCAGACCTGTTGAGAGAGGAAAATAGTGTCCCATTCCCAATCAGTATGATTAATGTGGCCAACCTTCCAAAACAGGCCCCCCCAAAGGAGTGAGGAAAAATCACATTGCGTCAATAAGATCTTGCTTGATACAGCCATCCATAAAAATACTTCTGTGTTCCTCTTTCTGGGGAAATCACTTGTTCTCCAAAAGTGTGATACAAAGTGTGCAATTAGCCTCACATCTCCTCATGGTGCAACACCAGCAGTGACACACATTTTCAGAGAGGCAACCCCGAAGTCACCCTCACAGCACAGTGTCTCTCCTGTCTTCTTAACTCGATGGACTAAGAACTCCAGTCCTTTGGGTCGTTCTTCTGTGTGAGGATCCAACCCACCACAACCACATGGCCTCCATGCCCTTCAGTTCAACAGTGGCTCACTCTTACAGGGAGGAGGTGACCTGGAAGTAGTCCTCCCAGCTCGGTTGAGTAAGGGTTCCAATCCTGTGGCTGATTCTGCTTCAGGTGGGCACTGAACAGAGGAAACTCTTTCATTGCATTGTCTCCCCACTCCACACACACATTCATGTACAGTGGTACCTCGGTTCTCAAAAGAAATCCGTTCTCGAAGCCCATTCGGCTTCTGAAACATTCAATAACCGAGCCGCGGCTTCCCCTTGGTTGCAAGAGCTTCTTGCACTCAGTGGAAGCTGTGTTGCACATTCAGGTTCTGAAAAACGTTCAAAAACAGAAGCATTTACTTCCGGGTCTTCGACAATGGAGGCATTTGGGAACTGAGGTTCCACTGTAGTTTGAATTGTTTCATATTATTAACAGCACAGACATTGTACAATAACGCCTCATCTCATGTACAGGTTCAGTCCCAAGGGTTATATGGATAAGTGAAAATTGGGGGGGTGGGGGTGAAGCCTAGGCTAGTGGAGGGGGGATCACCCCCAGCGCTCTTAGAACTAATGTACTGAGCACACCTTGCAAGTCAAGACCTTAAAAGCTCTTTTCACACCGGATTTGCTTGGGACCCAAGTCCTTAAAAAAGCAACTTCTCCAATATCAACCATCTCGAAACCTAGGAATAACAGTGCCATGTTGGTGGTGCTGCTGCCACCACAAGCTCCCCAGTTGGCATTGATCTGTGACATGGCCTTTTCAGTGGCAGTTCCCCGTTTGTGGAATGTGCTGCCTGGTGAGGTGTTGCTGTCTCCTTCTTTATTATCTTCCAGGGGAATTTTTAAAATCTTCCTGTTTTAACCAAGCATTTGATTGCTGAAATGCAATATTCTTGGTGTTCCTGAGATCACTAGTTGAGAGTGCTTTTAAAAGATTTTTTTATTTTAAAAAGTTTCATTATTATTATTAGTAGTAGTAGTAGTAGTAGTAGTAGTACCCTGCCCATCTGGCTGTGTCTGCCTCTTTTTAGTGGAAGGGATGGGAATCATCACCCCTCTCCCTCCCCGTCCAGTGGAGTACCAGGAAATGGACAGATCATTCTTTCCAGACCTCTGACCAGATCACTTCCAGGAAGGGAGCTCCTTTCTATCCTCCTCCATCTCTCTCCATTGCTTTGGTAAAAGGTAAATGCAGTTGGCGCTGTGGTCTAAACCACTGAGCCACTTGGGCTTGCCGATCGTAAGGTCCGCAGTTCGAATCCCTGTGACGGAGTGAGCTCCCGTTGCTCTGTCCCAGCTCTTGCCAACCTAGCAGTTCGAAAGCATACCAGCGTGAGTAGATAAATAGGTACCACTGCGGTGGGAAGGTAAACGGCATTTCCTTGTGCTCTGGCATTTGTCACGGTGTTCCATTCACCAGAAGTGGTTTCGTCATGCTGGCCACATGACCCATGTTATGTACTGAGTTAAATAGGATCCAAAGCGCAGCAGTCTGAGTATATTTCAACCCAGAAAGCTGTCTGTGGACAAACACTGGCTCCCTTGGCCTGAAAGCGGAAATGAGTGCCATACCCCATAGTCAAATTCAACTGGACTTAAATGTCCAGGGGTCCTTTACCTTTTAGCCATTGCTTTAGGCTTTTTACCCTAAGTTTGCACCACTACTTCCGTCTTTACTTCTGGGCTCCCCCACTCCACGCACATGAAATTAGGTAAGGGGTTGCAGTTGCTCTGCCCTGCAACTTCATTTCCTGTCTCTTCAGTTTGACTCAGGTTTTCAGCCTCCCAATATGAAAAGTTCAAGTCCGGGATGGGTATTTGGCCTACACTATCCACTATGAAAAGGGATGCGGGTGGCGCTGTGGTCTAAACCACAGAGCCTAGGGCTTGCCGATCAGAAGGTCAGCGGTTTGAATCCCCGTGACGGGGTGAGCTCCCATTGCTCGGTCCCAGCTCCTGCCAACCTAGCAGTTTGAAAGCACGTCAAAGTGCAAGTAGATAAATTGGTACCGCTCCGGCGGGAAGGTAAATGGTGTTTCCGTGTGCTGCTCTGGTTCGCCAGAAACGGCTTAGTCATGCTGGCCACATGACCCGGAAGCTGTACGCAGGCTCCCTCGGCCAATAAAGCGAGATGAGCGTCACAACCCCAGAGTCGGCCACGACTGGACCTAATTGTCAGGGGTCCCTTTAACTTTACCCACTATGAAGAGAGATGCAAAACATCTTCCAGCTTCTCTGTAACATCCTTATTCTTCTTTAGCACACCACTCACTCAGTTGTCTAGCTGCCTCTTTGCATGTGATTGAAATGCTTCACACACCTTACCATTGATGACAACGAGGAGTTCACCCCCTAAGCGTTTTAGCTGTGTGAGGTAGGTAATTTTTTTCTGATCATGCTAGGGTCGGTCCTAAATGGCCTCGGTCCAGTATACCTGAAGGAGCGTCTCCACCTCCATCGTTCTGCCTGGACACTGAGGTCCAGCGCCGAGGGCCTTCTGGCGGTTCCCTCACTGCGAGAAGCCAAATTATAGGGAACCAGGCAGAGGGCCTTCTCAGTAGTGGCACCCGCCCTGTGGAACGCCCTCCCACCAGATGTCAAAGAGAAAAATAACTAGAGGACATCTAAAGGCAGCCCTATTTAGGGAAGCTTTTAATGTTTAATAGGTTATTGTACTTTAGTGTTTTGTTGGAAGCCACCCAGATGGGCGGGGTATAAATAATAAATTATTATTATTATTATTATTATTATTATTATTATTATTATTATATCGGGTGGGATTCATTCCCATGTACTTCATTCCTGAAAGAAATTGTCCCCCCTGCACACCTGAATAATAGAAAAAGAGAGGAAGCAATGAAGAAACCTAAAGGACTGGATTTGACTAACTGGTCCCATACAAGGCCGCCTAGCATAATGGGGCCAGAGGCAGATGAAGGGGTGTGTGGTGAGGGCGGACCGTCCCGGGTGTCTTTGCTGAGGATGGTGACATTTGGCACGCCGCCCACCCACGACTCCCAAGCCTACCCTGAGCCCCTTCGTTTTGACAGCTGGGGGAGGCTTGGGAGTTGCGGGCTGGCGGCTCACCGAATGTCCACCATTGGCGGCTTGCTCCTCCCCCGGCTGTAGGGCGCATGTGCCGCTCCGTGCACCCAAGTGGCATGTGCTGCTCTGTGCACCCAAGTGGCACCTGGGAGGGCACCCTCCATGCCCCACCCCCCCTTGGGAGCGCAGGCATATGCTCCGCCACTGAATGGGGCTCCCCACCATCACGTGCTCCCATGCCCACCCCAAATTATTCTGGGAGGCAACAGAACCCCCGGAGCAGCACACAGGGGAATGAGAAGGTAGATCATTCCATCAGACAAGCAGAAATGCTTGTGTTGATGGAATGATCTCCTTAGCACTACACTGAATTTCTTCTCGTGGCTTGTATTCAACTAGGTTTTACTCAGAGTAGACCCACTTAAATTAACGAACATTAGTCACATGCATTAGTTCCGGTAGCTCTACGCTCAATGAAACCTAGTTGGTTTCTGCCCAATGTGCAGTTTGTTCCCATGTTGGCACCCTCTTTGACTTGGTGGTGCATATTCCTACATTCCTTCTAAGCTTCTATGACTGTGGTTCTGAATCATGTCCAAGCATTTGGAAGCTACTTGACTTCACGTTTCCCTTTCAGTTTCCCATTAACCAGTCCGCTCGTTTTTGAACAGTTTCCTCTCTTAAAGTCAAGGGTGACTGTGTTGGACTTCCACCTCCATATATGTTGAATTCAATAGCAGTGTGGTCACTGTTCTCAATTGGTTCAACCACACACAGATCATAGTACCAGGCCCTGGATCAATCAATTCCCCAACCGATAGTATTGGCAAAACACAGCTCTGGATCTTGCTAATTAGCTGATCAATCCATCGTGCAGCCCAATTATAGTATATCTACTCAGAAGTAAATCCAACTGAATTCAATGAGGCCAAAGTGAGTGTGCAAAGGATTGCAACAATATATCACAACTGCTCTTTCAGGGAGATCTTTCTCAAGGATTTATGGTGGGTGGAAGCTGTATAATTTAAATAACTGCAGATATAAATCAAAATGATTATAGTGTTCATGCTTCTGAGATCAAGCTGTGAATTTTAAAGCAGCACAAAATTATAGGAAAAAACCCCCTGAGTAGGATTTACATAAACAGATCAAGTATTAATAGGAACTGCTTTTAGGTTAAAAGAGAATGTGTGTAGAATTGTATTGCTTGGTTACTGATAACCAGAGTTGAATAGCAAATAACAGGGATGTGCATCAGCTCTCTGTGTACCCCACATTATGAGATGAACTGGGGTGATTTGGGGAAAGTTATCCTATTTCCATGTCAGACCACACAGTTAACGGGATTTTCTCAAGTTGTACCAGAGACTCATTAACCTTCACATCTATCCTGTAGTCTCATCTGACTGGGAAAATGCCCAGAGCTTGAGAGGAGAAGGAATTCTTTCCCCATGGCACTCCAGTCACAATGATTTGGGAAGTGTATTGAAACCTGTTTCACATGGATCTATGCCTTCCCCTATGAAGAATTCTTATTTATAATCCCTCAATTTCTTTGTCTGTGGAGGAAAGTCAACTACTCCCCAACCATAAAGGTATGTCATATTGATATATATGTACAGTAAAAGAATTTTTTAAAAAAATAGTTTTGGTTTTTAACATGAACACATTATATTTCAATTGATGTGTAAATTGCTTTGCAATAGATGTTGTTTACATATTTATTGAAGTGTAGTAGCCTCTTTGCCTCATTGCTTTTCTTTTTTCCTGAAGTGTTTTGTTGATTTTGTGTGAGTTGTTTGTTGAGGGTTGAAGCTTATATGTGTCTACTCAAAAGTAAGTCTCACTAAATTCAGTCTGGCTTACTCCCAGGTAAGTGGGGATAGAGTTGCAGCCATAATCAATTTCCTACTGGGAACAGAATGCATTGGTCATTATGTTTGTTCACACGGGAAAAAATGATTTCTTCCAGGACCTGGAAACTTTATCTGTGCTCCTCTGTCCTTTATCCGAACCCCTTCTGTCAATGTGGGGACAGCCATTTGGACTTGACTGCTCATTTTTGACCACCCATCCCCTAAATCTTTGTTCCAAAGGCCATTTAAAACATAAGTCATATTGAGTGTTACATTCTACCACACATTTAACTATTTTCAGTATTAAAGGTAAAGATAAAGGGACCCCTGACCATTAGGTCCAGTCGTGGCCGACTCTGGGGTTGCGGCGCTCATCTCATTTTATTGGCTGAGGGAGCCGGCGTACAGCTTCCGGGTCATGTGGCGAACCAGAGCAGCGCACGGAAATGCCGTTTACCTTCCTGCTGGAGTGGTACCTATTTATCTACTTGCACTTCCTGATTTTGAACTGCTAGGTTGGCAGGAGCTGGGACCGAGCAACAGGAGCTCACCCCGTCATGGGGATTCGAACCGCCAACCTTCTGATCGGCAAGTCCTAGGCTCTGTGATTTACCCCACAGCGCCACCCGCGTCCCATTTTCAGTATTATATATGCATTTATTAAATGAAATGTTGTAATGAGAAAGGCATATGTGATTAAGTTGCATTACACTGACTCATATGATCCCGGACACAAAGGGCAGAACATCAGCAGGGTGCTAGCCTGTCCCTTCCAGATACCTGAGTGAGGAAGATGAGACAACATGACAAATTTATCCTGCACCATGATAGATAGGAGGGTGGACTGCAATCCTAACCCCATTTACCTTGGCATAATCCTCATTGAATTCTGAGTAGACATGGTTAGAACAGCCGCCATAGATGCCCTTGTGATGGGTCATTAGACACCTCATTAACTTTGTCTTTAAGGTGCCACAGGACTCTTAACTGTATTTGCTGCAACCGACTAACAGGGCTATCCTTCTAGAAATTCATTAACCTTGGAAGTGAACACACAGGTAAGGTAATTGATTTGTAAATAACTGTTCATGGCTGAGATATGTATGTCTGTTGTGGCACTGTGATATACTTTTTTTTTTTTAAAGCACCCATATATTTGCTGAAAGGAAAAAGAGACTTGTGAAAAATTAACCAGAGGAATGGAAAATACTAGATGAAAGTGTGAACAAATATCAGGATGGATTGAGGCACTGTTGTGCATTCCTGCTATGAGTAGAGGGGCCAAATACTTCATCATAAACAACTTAGTGAATTCGGTTTGGGGGGAGAGAGTGGATCCATAAATTTGAAGTAATAAGGAAACGAGGTTGTCATGGAAGCTTAGAGAACACACTAGTCAGGATGCTAGACAAATATGTTATTGTCTCTCTTAAACAAGAACAGAACAGAAACAAAAACCACCTGCTTACAACCTGATACAACCAAGTCTGGCTCCATTTAGTTACTGCAGGTGGAATCCAATGTAGCACTACATTTTTTGTTGTTCACACAAGGAACAGCAGAATATTATTCTCGTCTCCTCCTTCTGCATGCCCCCTAAATCTCTTCTAGGGCAGCACATTTGGGGAGTGTGCAGGGCATGCCCAGGACGAGGACGATGATAGAAGAAGAAGAAGAAGAAGAAGAAGAGGAGGAGGAGGAGGAGGAGGAGGAGGAGGAGGAGGAGGAGTTTGGATTTGATATCCCGCTTTATCACTACCCGAAGGAGTCTCAAAGCAGCTAACAATCTCCTTTCCCTTCCTCCCCCACAACAAACACGCTGCGAGGTGAGTGGGGCTGAGAGACTTCAGAGAAGTGTGACTGGCCCAAGGTCACCCAGCAGCTGCATGTGGAGGAGCGAAGACGCGAACCCGGTTCACCAGATTACGAGTCTCCTGCTCTTAACCACTACACCACACTGGTCATATTATGCACATGGAAATCATTTCATTGGTATTAGTGGAGGACTGCCTTATAGCTAGCTCAGGCATAGGCAAACTCTGGCCCGCCAGATGTTTGGGACTACAGTTCCCATCATCCATGACCACTGGTCCTGTTAGCTAGGGATGATGGGAATTGTAGTCCCAAACATCTGGAGGGCCAGAGTTTGCCTATGCCTGAGCTAGATAATGAACCTATCTGCACATTCCTCCCCTTTGCTTAAAGAAATAACAGTTAAATCAGCACTGTTGAGACATCTATTTGTCTCAAAGGGTTCCAAATAATGTCTATTGATCACTAGAAATCCCAGGTGAAGCTGCCTCTTGAGATATAGTTCAATAATATTTGAGATATAACTAGTTCAGAACGACCAACTGGGCTTAGAAGAGTTGCAAAAAGGGTTATAAAAGAATATAGCTTTGATTAAACCTGGTCTCCCTTCTTTTCATATGTACGGGGGAAAGAAAGTAAAGCTCTCCCAACAGCCTCACAAATCAGGAGCATAGCCAGGATTTGGGGGGGGAGGGGGCAGAACCAAGCTATCTGTGACTCAGTTGGTCATTAAGTTAAGTATCTTTATTTATTTATTTGATTTGGAGGGCGGCAGCTGCCCCCGTCACAAACCTGTCTGTGGAGAATGTATATGGACTGCCAATGTTTTAAGAACATGTAAAATGGCACCATAAACTTAATGCTATGTTCTTTTCTCTGTGGAGACTGTATATAATTTTATATATAATTATATAATCTTCTTAATTAGAAATTGGAAAAAAGGGTTCCAAATAACTGGGTGAGATGAGTAATGATCTGAAATGGTGTCCGTCTTACAAGATGACTCAGGAAGAGTTTTGAAACATGAACTTTGGCATGTTAGACACCACTTGTACCTTTGGGATAGTACCTTTTCAGGAATGAGAAGAGGGGGTTGGTCAGTTTCTATTAAGACTTCCACGTTCAGGCCCAGCAGTTGATCTGGGTGATCTTTATTTGTTCCTTATACAATAGCGGAAGGCTGCCTTTTCTCCAACGAGTTTGTTAGAAACTTTCTCTTCCAGCTCTGAATTTTCCCACACTTCTTACAGAAATGTCCATAACTCTTTTCACATGGAAATCTGATGAGGCAACTTTTTCTATGGTAGCCTGCTTTGGAAGGAGCTTTGTCTTTAGGAGTAGAATGGGTGTCCTGGCTTGTCTTCCAGTTGGGAATTCTGGTTTCTCCAGACAACACAAGTCCTGTGAGTTGCAGGAAAACCTTCAAGAGGGAGGTAATATCATTTCTTCTGCAACTGCCCAGCTTTTCCCCACCACCAAATCTGCCTTCTGGGCTTAAATCAATGCACTTGCCAAATTTGGTTTTGTTTTTTTTTATTCAAAGTTATAACAAAACATATTATCCAAAAACATTTCCTTATTTCCCCCGCCATTTTTCTCCCTCCCCCTCCCCCCCACAAAACCCATCCCCCCACCCCACCCCACCCCGACTTCCCTCAGTTCCAGTCTTTGGTTTCTCCAATAATGCTATTTTCTGCATGTTACAAAGTTGCATAGATCCTCAAACTATTTAGCTAATTATTATCAATAAAAAAAAAGTTGTGAATGTTTATTCAAAACCTGCCAAGGAGTCCAGTTCGCTTTGTTGCGTCTTCAGATACTTTGTGAAAGGTTCCCATTCATCCTTAAAGTCACAGTTATCCTTGTCCCGTAGCTTATATGTCAATTTTGCCAGTTCTGCATAGTCCGTCAATTTTTCTTGCCATGATTCTTTAGTTGGGATTTCTTCAGTCTTCCATCCTTCCATCCAAATTTGGTTTTAAGGGAAGTTCATCCTTCTTCCTTTTTTAAAAAATTGGTGTGGAATTTTTTTTCTAAGGCGAAGGGTTTCACTTTAAAAGCCACCAACACTGAACAGCTGTTGGGAGCCCAGTTGACAGCTTCCCTGTTTTCCTGTGCCTACAGAAATGCCCCAAGCTGGATTTTCAGGAAGCGTCACCACCAGAGAAGAAAGCAGATTGCAGGGCCACAAAAGGAAGGATATTTAGAATGAAAATGACAACATCACCCTCCAAAAAACCCCATCCACCGAAAATAAAAGCAAGATAAAAGCATAAAAAGCCTTGAAGACTATTCATGAGAATTTCACCAAACATTTTCTCTCTCCTTTGATAATTGTTGTGTTTTCCTCATTAAACAATAGGGAATTGGGGGCAAATGTAGAAGAAACGTTCGGAGCAGCTCTGAAAAACAAGGAAAGGACCAGAGGTGTCGTTCTCGTAAGGAGGCTATGGCCCTCAAGGCACAACTAATTGACAGAGGGAAACAAATACCCTTTCACTGCAGCAGCCGATAACTCAAGGCTCATGAGATTATGATATAAAATGTACTAAGACAAAGTGATTGCCACAACAATGGAGAGATGTACCCTGTGGATGGAATGCATCCAAGATGCTCATAAATCTGTAATGAGAAGAAGAAAAAGCTTGAGAAATGACCCCATGTGGAAAAGGAGGAAAGGGAGCACTAGAGGAAAAGAGAGAGGGGCGGTGTAAGCTGCAAGAAACTACAGCGGCATATTCAAAACACGGGTACGGGGGGCAGAAAGAAGGGGAGAAACAGGTGGGGGATAAAAAGGGGGAAATCTGGAGAGAAACATAGCATGGCAGAGCATGGCATTCTGAATGTATGTGATACCTATGAAAAAAGACCTTGCTCTAGCATGTGAGGGCAGGAGAGAGAAGAACGTGTTCTTGAAGCACAGAAAGAAAAACCTCATTAAGAACTACAGTGGTACCTTGGGTTACGGACGCTTCAGGTTACAGACTCCACTAACCCAGAAATATTACCTCGGGTTCAGAACTTTGCTTCAGGATGAGAACAGAAATCATAGAATTCTAGAGTTGGAAGGGACCACGAAACTGTTCTTAACCTGAAGCACCACTTTATCTAATGGGGCTTCCTGCTGCCGCTGCGCCGCCAGAGCACGATTTCTGTTCTCATCCTGAAGCAAAGTTCTTAACCTGAAGCACTATTTCTGGGTTAGCGGAGTCTGTAACCTGAAGCGTATGTAACCTGAGGTACCACTGTATATGATTGTGCTCCAAAATGACCTACAAGGAGAGCATATGCTTAGATCAGGCACAGGCAAACTCGGCCCTCCAGAAGTTTTGAGACTACAATTCCCATAATCCCTGACCACTGGTCCTGTTAGCTAGGGATGATGGGAGTTGTAGTCCCAAAACATCTGGAGGGCCAAGTTTGCCTTATGCCTGGCTTAGATCGTAAATAGCATTGGTGTCCCCCTCACCCCAAATCCTTTGAAAAGCTCTAGTTTAGCTTCCCCCAATAGTAGTTATTGTTTTACCTATTATTTCTTACATTTATATCCTGCTTTTCCTTCACAGAGTACACATGGCTCTCCACATCTCTGGTTTTTTTATCCTCACAACAGCCCTGTGAGGTAGGTTAGGCTGAGAGGAAGTGGCTTCATGGCTGGCCGGGGATTTGATCTCTGGTCTCCCAGAGTCATAGCTGTCAACTTTCCCCCTTTTCTTGTGAGGAATCCTATTCAGAATAAGGGAATTTCCCTTTAAAAAAGGGAAACGTTGACAGCTATTCCCAGAGTCCCAATCCAATACTCTAACCACTACACTAGAAGGGAGCAGGGTGCAAATGGTTTCTGTTTGCATTCCCTGAGGTAAATGGTATTGGGGGGGGGAAGGAGTTTGTGTTGGCTGTGTTGCATTGTGTACAGTGACTCACGATGATGATGCATCTGGTGGCGGGTTGGGCGTCCCTGTCATTACACATTCCTTGTAACAAACAGATTTAATAGCAGTTGGTGTAGTTGAGCATCTACTTAATTAGTTTTAATAGTCTTCATCAACTAGTATGTTCCACCTTGTCCAAGAGAGAAGGCAATTAATTCCTCAACACTTTGCATGGCTGTTACTGACTGCAATCATAATCAACACACCCTGAACATTTTAATAGCCTCTCTGAAGCACTGCTTTTGGATGTGAGCGGCTGCAAATGGCACAGATTCAAAGGCAGGAATGGTGCACTTGGATGCGAGCCCATCTCTAATCAGCAGCAGAAAGTGTGAGCACTGAAGCCCTTTGCATTCCTATTCACTGCAAGAACAGCCCTTCTTGTAACAGAACCGGAACTGTATCCCTAGCAACTCTGGAAAATAGATTTTTATTTCTTTTAAAGGAAGGAATCAATACAGGATAATGCAAAATCCAATCAATGGACAGAAGCTACAGAAATACAAATAGAGCTATACCTAACAAATACAAGAATTCACATTCATTAGAGTCCTTGGGAAATAAACGTTGTGCACCTATTCAGCATTAAGGAGGACAGTTGCTGTTGTTGTTTTAAAAAACAGAACTTTTAAAATATTCAGATCCTTTGAAATCACAAGACAGAACTCCCATCGGACACCAGTATTTGATGTGAAAGATTAAATCTTGTCAAAATAATGGTGTAATATTTTGGTGTTAACAGAAGCAAATTATTGAGTGCAAGAACAGCCTCTTTACTATCCATTTGTACAATACCTTCCATGGTGTTTCAGTTTCAGAAAAAATACCCTTGCCGTGATAATAAGATATTAGATTAGGGCTGTAACCAGATTGAAGGTCTAATTGATTTGATTAAGACTTCATGTGCATAAAATAACAGTTCAGGAGAGAAAGAAGATATTCTTTCTTTGCTACAGCAAATACTAACTTAGACTGAAATCCCGTACAGATTTGCATGAAAGTAAGTCCAACTAAGGTCAATGATGTTTGCTTCCGAGTAGACAGCGCACAAGGTTATAGTTTAATTGTATGCATGTAATTAAAAGGTTTGTCTTCTGTCCAGGGGTGCCAGCTTGAATAAAATATTGTGGGGTGGGGGGAATAAACTCCGACCCACATAATCAGTCACATGATGCAGTGCACACACACCATTTGAATGGCAATACACATCATCTTTTTGGGGGGGGACCCACCCTCCTCATATAATTTCACTGAGGGGGCCCAAGACCCCTTGGCCCCTAGGAATTGGCTCCTATCATTCTGTCCCCCAGTGGTGCTTCCAGAGCAATTTACAAAAACAAGATTAACCACATTAATAAGATATAGCAAACATAATAGTGGGGTAGGATAGCTGAAAATAATGTCCATATATTTCACATCTGGCAACCAATGTGTTCCTTTGGTTTCAGAGAGTACATGGGTAGAGGTAAAGGTAAAGGGACCCCGACGACTTCCGGGTCATGTGGCCAGCATGACTAAGCCGCTTTTGGCGAACCAGAGCAGCGCATGGAAACGCTGTTAACCTTCCCGCCGGAGCGGTACCTATTTATCTACTTGCACTTTGATGTGCTTTCGAACTGCTAGGTGGGCAGGAGCAGGGACTGAGCAACGGAAGCTCACCCTGTCGCGGGGATTCGAACCGCCAACCTTCTGATCAGCAAGCCCTAGGCTCTGTGATTTAACCCACAGCGCCACCCACATCCCTAGTACATGGGTAGACAAGACTAAAAATCCCAGGACACAATTTTCACAGCCCTCTAACAGCTATGGTGGCTCATTTACCAGAAGTAATGTATTTAGCGTTAACTCTAGAAGTGTATATTCGATTCTGACCAAACTAAGTCTCCTAGAGCAAAATATGCATCACGAGGCTGTTTGGTCAGAATCAAGTATACACTTCTAGGGTTAATGCTAAATGCATTACTAAATACTATCTGAAACCAAAGGGGTGCATTCGTTTCCAGATATGATTCTTTTTTCAGCTCTTCTACTCCACTACAATAGGGTTGCCATATTCAAAAAGTGAAAATCTGGACACAAAAATTGTTGAGCGTATTTTTAAATGAAAGTTGCCAAAATCCAGATTTTCCCAGACACTCCAGCGATTTCTGCCCAAACACCTGCTTCCGACTGCAGTATTCCAGCTATGTCCAGGAAATTCCAGACATCTGGCAACCCAACACAATAACAGCAATACTTTCAAACAAAAGTTTAAAATGGTACTTAAAAGTGTTTCAAGTATGGCTGAATCATATATTAGCTGAAGACAGCAGGTTTATTCTTCCCCTTTGTAGGAAAGTTCCATGCATGCTAAGAAAAAAACAGCTAGGGGAAGGATAGACAGCCTTAGAAGGTCATGCATCACTTGTTCTTCCACACATTTTAAGAAGACTGTTGCCAAAGAAGACAAGGGAAATCACTGTGTATTAAAATATAGCTTGATAGGTTACTGCTTATCAAAGGTCAATGTCAAAAATGCAAAGTTGCAGAGTAAGTGGAATGTGAGCTGAAAATTAACCTAAGGGCATAATTCAAAGAAACTAAAGTGTTTTTGTTTTTTGTTTTTTAAAAGAACTCTAACCATTCAAACAGCAGAAAATGTATAATGGCAGGAATAAATATCCACAATTCCTAATAACTCTGTGCAACTGGATGTTGCTGTGGAGAGTCAGAGGCACACATTAAGAACTGCTTACTTATTAATGGAACTTCATTTCTTATTTTAATACAGAACATAACTGAGGCCTAGAAAGTCTGATAACAGTAAAACATCTAATCAATTATGGAAACAAGAACCGGAGGAGAGAATTTCGATTTGGTATGCATTTAAAGCCGAATCACTTTCCAAAACATTATAAGAACTGAAACACAGCTATTCTTCTAAATTCACAGTTATCTGAATTTTGCAATGCGGTGCTCCAACCGACAAAAAACTTTACAAAAATGCATGTTTTAGGGTAAAGTATGCATAAACATGAAGGCAAAACCAATGTACAAAATGTGTCACATTAGGGGAAACTGCTAGCAAAATTTTGATATAAATTGCATATAAAGTATATTTATTAGGATAAATTCTCGCTAAAATGGTGAGGAATTTTCATGAGGAATTTTCAAAAGACACACAGCTACGTTCGCATATGGGGAGAATTGAGTTGCCATTTTCTTTAGCTATACAAGGCAGCCAAGGACTTGGAGCTCTTTTTAAAACTCGAAAGCAAGAGTCCCATTGCTGTTCCCAAGCCACACAAGGTTTTCTCTGCTTCTTCCCACTACCTGCACTTACTCCAATAGTTTCCAAGTGTTATGATGCAAAATGATGCCACAATGTTCCCAGGCCACTCCAGGAAGTTTGTCTGGCAAATGGACAGCCATGCTTCCAGAAGGGAGGAACATGTGTCATGTCACTCTCAAGCCACTCTAGGAAGTGTGGAAAGGTGCTTTCAAGCCACACTTCCTGGAGGGACTTGGGAGTCATGTGATGTCACAATGCATCATTCAAAAGTCTAACAAGTACTATTGGAAGAGGCAGAGAGGGTTTCTTGATGGTGTGAGCGGTTTGGGATCTTGTTTTACCTTTTGTTTTGTTTTGTTTTAAGCCAGGCTTCCTCAACCTCAACCGTCCAGATGTTTTGAGACTACACTTCCCATAATCCCTGACCACTGGTCCTGCTAGCTAGGGATCATGAGAGTTGTAGGCCAAAAACACCTGGAGGGCAGAGGTTGAGGAAGCCTGTTTTAAGCTAACCACCTCCGCCCCTTGACCACCTTATACTGTTATTGCAGGCCCCTCCCCAGGTGAAGTTTTGTGTTTTTTTTAATTGTTGTTGTTGTTGTTTAGTCGTTTAGTCGTGTCTGACTCTTCGTGACCCCATGGACCAGAGCATACCAGGCACTCCTGTCTTCTACTGCCTCCCGCAGTTTTCTCTTCTCCTTGTGCCCTCCATCTTTCCCAACATCAGGGTCTTTTCCAGGGAGTCTTCTCTTCTCATGAGGTGGCCAAAGTCTTGGAGCCTCAGCTTCACGATCTGTTTTTTTAATTACCCATTAAGAAATCAAGAGAAGACCACATCCATTTTTCATGTGGGTGTGATATCTTCAGGAAAATTAAATGAAGTTTCAGCTCAGCACGACTTTCTTCACTCCTTTGACACCACACAATTTAATATCTCGGCACACATGATCCCAAAAGAATGAGTGCCTGTGCACAGAATTATTTTTATATTATGTTTGTATAACATCGGGTGTATTGTAGATATTATTTGTAACAGCCTTTTTTGCAGATGTAATCAAAGCTCCCGGCTAGATCTTAATGCTATCCTAATTATACATTTTGTATTTTGATGTTCAGAGAAAATAGTTTCATTCGAAACTTGGGATCCAGGTCTTCAATTTATGGCCAAGCAAAACAACACATAGTCGTCACATGTCTCTGATACAGGTTCAGCAGATAGAAATTAGGTGATGGCTAATAATGGCTTAGGAACTCAATTTTTAGCAGCTCACAATGCAAAGAGAAAAGTGAGTGTTATAGTCCCAGAAGTTCTTCTCTGACTAGCATTTTATTCTGAGCCAGAGAATAATATGAGTTATTCCTCCTTCCTGCTTGGCATCCTTTAATACCACCTGAAATCATTGTGTTAGGAGTCATATTTTTTCAATAATGGATACTTTGACAATTGTTTCTAAGAGGAAAATGACATTTTGAAATACCCCAGTAATAGATATATTTTGGTTAGATCTGGTTCTGTCTCGTGATAAAATTAATTCCCATCCAATGGTAGCTAAACTTATGGTAGTACGCCAAGTCTTCTCAAATCTGTTAAAGAATTGTTTTAGCTTAATAAGTAAAGTTCAATCAAGTAATTAATCTCTTGATTATTTTAAGTGGAATTTGCACAATGTATTCTATATAACGAGCTACAGTAAGCAATAAATTATTTATGCAGTCAAGATTACATGCAACCTAGTAGCTTGATGAATGGCATAGTCAAAATGACTGAATAATATATCCCCTTTTAGTAAGGAAAGCACCAAGTTCAAAGGAAATCTCATAAATGTACTAAACAGGGACTCTGCATACAGGGAACTTATGCAAATTAAATTAAAATGTAAGTAATACACGTGGCTAAGCAGAAGAACAAGGTCTTGAAGGTTGATAACAATTTTCATATTTTTCTTTTAAGACTATAACATGCCCCATCTGCTTGACTACATTTTTTTTAACGTAGGAAGAACATGCCATGGACTTTCTGTAACTTGTGCATAATATGTGAATATGTGAATGCTAGACTCCATATTCCTCTGGTGGGTAGAGGAACAAGTAGCCCATAAGAAGGAACATGGAAGCTTTACTGGCTGTAGCCCTTTTCCTTCCCTTCTCCAGTTTCCTAGCTGTGCCCTCTAACCACCCAACTCCATCAAGCTGACCATAATGACTGAATATTCTGTTTTGGCTTAATGGTGATATTCAGATTTCCAGTTCAGGGCCCCAGTGTGGGCTTGGGAACTCTGATTCAGATAATACACTAATTGCCTCACTTGAGGGGGAGCTTTCAGCACCCCCTTCTACTGTGGTCCAGCCTGAAGGCATGGTTCTTCCCTCATCTTCAGAGGCCAACCACGATTCCACAAACACATGAGATGGCAGAATAGGCTACAATTACCTATTGCAAATAGAAGGGACTCGGGTGGCGCTGTGGGTAAAACCTCAGTGCCTAGGACTTGCTGATCGTAAGGTCGGCGGTTCGAATCCCCGCGGCGGGGTGAGCTCCCGTCATTCGGTCCCAGCTCCTGCCCACCTAGCAGTTCGAAAGCACCCCTAAGTGCAAGTAAATAAATAGGTACCGCTTTATAGCGGGAAGGTAAACGGCGTTTCCGTGTGCTGCGCTGGTGCTGGTTCGCCAGTTGCAGCTTCGTCACGCTGGCCACGTGACCCGGAAGTGTCTTCGGATGGCGCCGGCTCCCGGCCTCTTGAGCGAGATGAGCGCGCAACCCTAGAGTCGGTCACGACTGGCCCGTACGGGCAGGGGTACCTTTACCTTTACCTATTGCAAATAACTCTCCCAGGAGAGCATAGCCACGGAGAGGTCAAGCCCTGCCACAGTCATTTTGAGGCTTCACATAACTAAGCCTTTGCTGAGACATCATTTCCCCAAACTCTGCTAGCTCTGTGTTTGTATGTGTGTCATGAGGCTTGCTCCGAGGTAACCACTAGAAATTAAGCAAATTTCCCCCTCCAAATTTTCTCAGTAGTCATCCCTACTCTTTGCCATCCCTTTAGGTACAAATCCAGAAATGGCACTGTCTCTTCTTCTTCTTCTCTGGCGATTGTACTTCATGTTACATATAGTTCTGAAATTCCTCCTCTGAGTTTTTAAAAAAACAGATAGACCCAATAATCACTGCTCCCTTGGCAACGGTGCTTCCTTCTCTTCTTCATGAACTCTTGAGGCATTTCTGTTTTATAATATTCATCCATGGAAGGAGGAAGTGGCAATCAAAATGGGAACTAAGGCACCTGGAACAGAATTCTAGGCCTTAGTCCTCATGCTTTCATTTTAGCTTAAGTGGAGAAAACAAAACTTCTAAGAAAGCCATCCTCTCCAAAATGGGTAAATAATGTTGGAATTGAAGGGGGGGGAATGGTCTGCCGCAATCTCCTTTAGACCTGGCCCATTTATCCTGAAAATTGAGAAGATGCTTTAGAGCTCTTCCCAAGGGCATTTCCTACCCATGGATTTTCAGGATGGAGATCTTGAAGCAAATGGAAGAAGATGAGAGAAAAATCTAGGTAGCGCTCCATCTTGTTTTCTTTCCCACTAGAAATCTGGTGAATTTCTTGCCCAGGGACAGCATGTGGCAGAATTTGTTACATACATATCTCACATACAAAGCAAGCTATGAGCCACCAAGTCAAGAAGGGGGAATAATGGAATCAGTAGGCTGTTCGTGAGAGGTCATGTGCTATCTCAAATAGTTAATCTATAAACCTCCATCAAAATCAATCCCATCCTTTATAAAGGTTGAGCATATTTAGGCACACATATACTCTTAACTAGTGATGTATGGAAGTGGGAAGTGAGAGCTGGATCATAAAGAAGGCTGATCATTGAAGAATGGATGCTTTTGAATTCTGGTGCTGGAGGAGACTCTTGAGAGTCCCATGGACTGCAAGAAGATCAAACCTCTCCATTCTGAAGGAAATCAGCCCTGAGTGCTCACTGGAAGGACAGATCATGCAGCTGAGGCTCCAAGACTTTGGCCACCTCATGAGAAGACAAGACTCCCTGGAAAAGACCCTGATGCTGGGAAAGATGGAGGGCACAAGGAGAAGGGGACGACAGAGGATGTGATGGTTGGATAGTGTCTTCGAAGCTACCAGCATGAGTCTGACCAAACTGCGGGAGGCAGTGGAAGACAGGAGTGCCTGGTGTGCTCTGGTCCAGGGGGTCACCAAGAGTCGGACACCACTAAACGACTAAACAACAACAACAACAATACTCTTAACACAAACACAGCACCCCAATACATATAAAATGATGTTATATTGAACTCTCAAACATAATAATCCAGCATATGTCATTGTTACAGAGAGGCATGTAGAATTAGCCTGAAAAATATAATTCATGTAGTTATAACAAAAGATGAAATAGTCCTGAATTATCATTTGATGTGATAATGAAGGCATTTACAGCTTTGAGATTCGAGACCGTGCCTGCAGCATATTTTGATGGGAAATATGCCAGAATGCCTGTAAATGGCCATTTGCGGCCAGAGACAGGTGGGAAATATTGTTCATTATGTGCAATATTGCTCCCTGTATAATTCTCCTATGGACTGATTTCTCAAAGGAATTCTTCAGAGAGTTTTCTTATTGAAGAGTATGGGGGAAATCAGTTATTTGCTGATGAAGGCTATGCCTAATGTCTGGAGAATGTACACAATTCCGTCGATATTTTGTACATTCCCCTGTTAGCGATTGCATATATTGTCTGGGAAATGTGCACATTTCCCTCTTCATAGACGGATTATGTGCACATGCTCCATGAGGCCTCAATGGATGGTTGTTATCACATTACCCACTCAACTTACATTTTCTCTCAAAGAGACAGAGAGACAGAAGACTTGGCAGCTGACATAATTTCAGTTTAACTTGAAGTTGTGATCATACTGTCCACAGGTAATGTTGTGAAAAGCTGGTGTTGTGAAGGAAAAACTGTTCAGATAGGCCGGTCATTATAGACATCTGCTAGGCCTTGGATTATTGTCTGATTATTGTTATTAGATTGTTGATATTAAGCAAAAATAATACCTTTTATAGGAAGAATCTTTTGGAACTTGAAAGAGCACGCTTTTACAGGAAGTAGCTTTTGGAGGTTGAGATTTCAGCAGGAGAAACTACATTTAATAACCAGAACTGTGGGAGGACTTCAGCTTGGCAGCAACAGCTGAAATTAGAATCCAACAAAAACGAGCTTTTCACAAGGAATTAGAAGGTAACAACACATGAACTTGAAAAATGTGTTCTATTTAAACTGTTGATTACTGAGACTTCATTGTTCGGGTCTATTTCATGCACTGTTGTAATAGCTGCATGAGTTATAATTTTCAGGATAATTCTGTATGCCTGACTGCAATAATTGTATATGCTGGATTGTTATGTTAGGGAGCACATTATCACACCTTTTTATATGTACTGGGTTCTTACCAGGGCTTTTTTCAGCTGGAACTTGCAGGAACTCAGTGCCAGCACCTCTCAGGTGTGCCCCAGTGCCATTACAGTGGAACCTCGTTTTTTGAACATAATCAGTTCCAGAAGACCGTTCGACAACCAAAAACTCAATACAGAAACCTCAGTACAATAGGGAAACTCAAAACGGAAACCAAGTGGCATGTTCAGCTTCCAAAAATCATTCGAAAACCAGAGCAGTTACTTCCGGGTTTTCGGCCTTCAAAAGTAGAAATGTTTGACTTCCAAGAGGATCGAAAACTGAGGTTCCACTGTATAACAGAACAAGGGAGGTTTTTGTGGTGAGTTCCGGCACCTCTTTTTCTAGAAAAATAGCCCTGGTTCTTACATTCGTTTTTATGTGTGCCTGAAAATGAACCCATTCTGAAAGAGATGGGATGGTTTTTGATGAAGGTTTGTGGAAGAAGGGACCCTTATTTGTGCATAAACTTCTACATGGATATGCTTGCCAGTTTAGAACCAAAGCATGAAACTGGCCACTACGTTCCCTTGCTTGGGAGGTTCCCAGAGGGGGAAACATCTAACAGGAACTGGGGCGTCTTTCTGGTTCATTCAACTTCCACTCTGTTAGCTGGCAAGTGGCAATATGCCCCATGTTGCATTTTGTGATGTTCTCTCTGCCTCTTCTCCCATTCGCCCCATACATAAAATGAGAAGGAAGACCACAAGAATTCTTCTTGTAAGCTAGGCCCATACCTCTGTTTCACAAGTCTTGAGACAAGACACAACCAGAACTAGATATAAACCAATTCAGGCAAATGCCCTCGGAGAGAAATCTGGGAGTCCTCGCAAGCTCCTCCATCAATGGCAGTTATCAATCAAAGGAAAAGAATGTCCCGAGGCTATTATGCCAGAAAGGCCTGCGACGTAATGAGCAACGAAGACTGAGCTGCCGGAGTCTCCCCATCAGGGCTTTGCATCAAAAAAAGCTGAAGATGTGTGGTACCATAAAGCAGAATACAGCCTAGAGCTGCTGCCTTGTGTTTGTTTAGTGGTTTAGTCGTGTCCGACTCTTCGTGACCCCATGGACCAGAGCACTCCAGGCACTCCTGTCTTCTGCCTTAGTAGGCTGCTGCCTTAAAGGTAAAGGGGCCCCTGACCATTAGGTCCAGTTGTGACTGACTCTGGGGCTGCGGCGCTCATCTCGCTTTATTGGCCGAGGGAGCCGGCGTACAGCTTCCGGGTCATGTGGCCAGCATGACTAAGCCGCTTCTGGTGAACCAGAGCAGCGCATGGAAACGCCGTTTACCTTCCCGCCGGAGCAGTACCTATTTATCTACTTGCACTTTGACGTGCTTTCGAACTGCTAGGTCGGCAGGAGCAGAGACCGAGCAACGGGAGCTCACCCCATTGCAGGGATTCGAACCGCCGACCTTCTGATCAGAGAGTCCTAGGCTCTGTGGTTTAACCCACAGCGCCACCCGTTGGAGTAGGCTCCAACTGCAGTATAAACTTAAAGTAGTATCATACAACTTTAAACTTCAGTGGTTTCCCCCAAAGAATACTGGGCTGTGCAGTTTTTGAGGGTCCTGAGAGTTCTGAAGGGTCCCGGAGTTCTGAAAGATTGATTGTTAAACTACTCTGCTGCTCATGTATATATATATATATACTTAGCCTAGTCTATCACAAGGCTGTCACAGAGATAAAAGAATGCGGGGAATCATAGGGCTCACTGTGAACTTCCTGTTTCTGGATTTGCCCAAAGTATATCCCACCCCATAATCAGGCAAATTCCAAAATGAGAAGAAATGAAATCAGACCTCCTGGAACTGGGACAAGACATTATGTCAACAGGTTAGGGTGATGGGTCAAATCAGCCCAACAAATGTGCATATTACTTAGAGAATGTGCAAAATTCAGCTGAAATAGGCACTTTCTCCAAGACCTGCTGGAGATTGTGTGCAATCCCCTTCTCGTGGTCAAATTACGTGCATGTTCTCCATGAGGCCTGGTAAAGGTGCACAATGGCCGGCTGTTGTGCAGATAAACCTCTTAATTTACAGGTCCCCTAACATATCCATTGATGTGTGCTACATCTGTAGTTTTGCATAACTGTGAAATTAAACCAAACCAGTCTTCTCCCTCTTCTCCCTCTGACCACTCATCATCATCTCACCACCACTCCTCAGGCTCTGAGCCTTCTTCCCTAGGTGGTTCACGAGTTGGTTCCTCCCACCATTCCTCTGCGTCCAACCAGTCCATGGCACCAAAGATGGGTACAGCTTCTTTGCCTTCTTCCCTCTGCAGAACTAATGCCATATTTGAGAGAGTGGATCTAGAGTTGGAAAAAATACAGGGAGAAAGGTCAAAGCATCCTCTCCAAAAGCACAATTTCCCCTGATCTTCAAAATTGCCTCAGACCTGCTAGGAGTAATGAATTAGATCAAAACTGCAGGATATTCTACTAATGAATTGCTCATGTCCCCTTTTGAAAGGATTGTAAAACTTTGCCTCTGGAGATGCTTTTTTGGGGTGGGGTGGGGGTTGGTTCTGTGATTCACTGATGTTTCATGTCAGTATATGAGTGCAGATTCTGACATTCACCCACCAAAACCTATTAACACTTGGAAACAGGAAATACACAATACTGAAACTATTCAGAGAAAATCAATGGAGGTCTCTAATGATGTTATCCTATGTGCACATCCATTCCAATTCTTAATTTGCTAACGACTATCAGCAACCCGTTAAGTATCATTGGGAAGTGATAAAACGCCTTATGTTTCATTATATTGTTCCAAGCACACATCTCTTCCCTAGCAATTGAAACTCAGAGAGTACAGCAAGCCCACGTCATTATGTCAAATTAAGCATTTAGTGGAATAGCCTTAGTCAACAGACTAATTTCTACAGCTAGCAGTTAACTGAGGTTGGGTTCCACAAAATTCCCAGGAATTTTTTGTGTGCTTTTTTGTGCATTTTAGTAAAGCTCTGTACTCTCACAAGATCAAGGGACAGAGATGGGAAAGAGTTTTTAACTAAGCAGCCTTACAGCCTGCCTCTCCAGCAATTACAGTAACTTCATTTCATTTCTAAAATCAACAACTTTCCCCTTTATGCCACCCTTACTGACTCCCCCCCTCATTGGAGAACTCTATATCCACAGCAAATATTGACTCCCAGTAGAATATGTGATCTCCCTTCTGAAATGTGAATCAATTCTGTATCTGAATTTACTTACTAATTGTGCTGTTTCGAAAATAATGGTGTGCTGAAGGCCCCTTTTGTAGGGGAAGAAAACTTTCAGGAACTGATGTACGTGTTTTGGCACAGTGCTTCTTATTAACTAAACCCTCGTTTTTAATCTACAATAAAAATCCTTGTCATATCACGGCTGATTCTAAATTGGTAGTATAGAAATATGGTGCTGGAAGAATTAAGCACGTTACAGATTAATTTAAAATATTATAATAGGTTATTTTAATTTTTGTTCCGCTAATTTTCGTCCATAGTTTAAATTGTGTTCATAATTATTTTTTAAATGGGAATGAATAAAACCATAGTTATAGGAAATATGAACCATCTGAAGAAGGTCTGACGTATGTGCTCTACATCCTTTCACATGGCTCCAAATAATGTGTTCGGGCTGGCTAGCAATGACTGAAACAATTTAAAACATCCAAGAAAATGGAGCAAATTAAAAAATACGGCATTCCTAACTGTAACATAACCATAAAAATTAGGAAGGAGTGGATTCCCCACATCAACTCATTAAAAACAATTAGAAAAATAAGTGTAATGTAAAGCAAAACAGAAATGATTTTTAAATCATTTGCTTAGACATAATATAAACCAGGCATGAAGGAGTCTCTAGCCATGCTCCCAATTTGGCTTGCGAGGCCATTTCCCACAAATCACACCCACCTCCCCCATGCCCAATGTGTACCCTCCCAACATTTCTCTGGTGAAAATAGGGGTGGCCTAATCCATAATAAAAGGGTGGCACTGTGGTCTAAACCACTGCACCTAGTACTTGCCGATCGGAAGGTCGGCGGTTTGAATCCCTGCTACGGAGTGAGCTCCCGTTGCTCTGTCACATTGGCCCTAGCTATTCATTTAGTGCCTGTGCTTTTTGTAATCTTCATTATTTAACCTACACTCTCTTTCTGTTCTGCCATTCTGTTATTCTGTGGTCCCCTCCTGGTGTCTTCCATCAAAAATAAGAGTTTCAGAAAGGTTCATAGTGGCATTTGTACCTTGTCTCCGATGTGCTCTGCCCCACTTTCTTTCTAAGTGGGATCCTGTAGCATCTTGACTCCTAATGCCTTGCTCTGCGCATGATTGTTTCCAGCAATGGCTAGTGCAGCATGACAAAGGAAGAGAACAGTGCTCTACAAGTCTACACAAGATACCCTCATATACAAGACATAGGCTTATCAGCTTGACACGTGACAACTCAAAATGTGTATATGCTATAATGCCTTGCTCTGTACCTGATTCTGTTAGCACACAGCCAAGACAAGCATCATTCTCTGGCCAGTCAATACCCTGCTAAGAACAAAGCACAGTCCCGAAAGGCACAATCTCTCTCCCCATAAGGGAATCAACAGCAGCAGCAGCATATGTTGTTGTTGTTTCTGTGCAACCGTTCTTCAAACTGGAGCCCAGGGCTTTTGCAGTTCATCAAAGCTATCCAGCAATATCAAGTTATAGGGAAACTGGTGCTATTAACAGTAATCCTTCTAGTTGGTTAATTGGTTCGGCAACTTCCATGCACATGTCGCGTGATGCTAATTATTTCCCCCAAGAGTTAAATGATGACTAATCGGAGGCAGCTACAGTTGCAAATGGCAACAAAATATCTGTGAAAGAAAGAGGAACAGGTTTGCTCAAGTGTGTTGCAGGTAGAAATACTGTTTGTAATGAAGTGAGAGCAGTAGTTTACTTGCTTGAATTAGCAAATAAGAAAGTTTTGAGAATTTAAATTCTGGATTAAAATTGATTACTTCATTGAGAGGGGGATTGTAACAAAAACACCGGGGCCTAATTTGAATAGTAGAGTGCCTGGTATCTGGTGGGCAATCTCATCCTTTATTTCCACACTGTGGCTGTAGACCAAATCACAGGAGAGTTATGAGATTCAGGTGAGGGTCAGATGCCTTGTCAATCCCAGCAGGTATATAAAACGACTGCCCTAGCCAGACCTTCGCCCTAGCCGGGGTTTTTTTAAGAAAAACATTACAACTTCATTTTCCTAACAAATAATGCTTATTCCACAAAAGGTTTACAAAGTTCAGTTATTTTTTAAAAAATTCAGTGTTAATTTTATGCATTTTTTAAAATCACCATGGTATTTAACAATAATATCTTATGTCCTTTAGAGGAGAAATAGTGAATTTTAGAATTTTAAATACCCGTCATCATCCCTGGCTTCACTCAATTTTGTTTATAACACTCTTCCTTTTCCTTCTAGTTGTGAGGGTGGGGGATGGGGAGGGGCCTCAGAAGTAGAGTAGCCAAGGGCCTCTCTTCATCTAAATCTGGCCCTGGCTGCGGAAGCCCCGTCGGACGTTCGAAAACCGGAACACTCACTTCCAGGTTTCGATCGTTTGGGAGCCAAGGCATTCGAGATCCAAGGTACGACTGTACAGTGGTACCTCAGGTTACAGATGCTTCAGGTTACATACTCCGCTAACCCAGAAATATTACCTCGGGTTAAGAACTTTGCTTCAGGATGAGAACAGAAATCGCGCGGCAGCAGCAGGAGCTAAAGTGGTACCCATTAGCTAAAGTGGTACCTCAGGTTAAGAACAGTTTCAAGTTAAGAACGGACCTCCAGAACAAATTAAGTTCTTAACCCAAGGTACCACTGTACTATTCTTTGGTTCAAGGTAACCCCCTCCTCTTAAGAAACAGAACCTTTAAAATTCCTCTCCTCTAGTCAGCAAGGTTGCAAATCACCCCTGTGTCTCAAAAACAAATATCAACCTCTACATATGAATGGAGTAGAAATTTGACCCAGTTTTCATTTAAATGTGAATCTACCCATTTTGCTTTTTCCAAAGCAAGACACAAACTGTAACAAACATCTCTGAATTTTGCAACGCCAAGTAATGTGTGCAAAAATTGCACAGTCCTGGGTAATGTGTGAATAAAAATGCATATATCATTAAAAATGGCATGCAAATCAATTCCACTTTATACTGTCAAAAGCAGAAGAGAGTGAGTTAGTTATCTCTCTGCTGCTGTGAACAAGTGATAGATTAGAAATTCATTACATGATCATCTCACAATTAATTAAGCTTCTAATGTGATGAATTGCAAATAACAGTTGCCCTTATACATTAAAATCATTTGAACAGAAGAAGCACACTTTGCCATGAAATACACCCATGTTTTCAACCTCCTAACTCCTAACCCTTTGCTAAGAGTAAATAAACAAGTAGCTTGCTCATAAAGTACTTAAGAGAGAAATAGAAGCTGTATTTCTGTTAGCACTGCAGCTAAACAATTATTGGTCCAATTAATGTGACCGTAAATCATATATATTGTCATACATCTAGGGTACTGGAGTCTGTTAGTGAATGGTAGAAATTAATAAACAGGAGTATTTAGATATTGTTTGGGATATGAAGGGAAATGCAGGCTGCAGAATTGTGCCAGACAGGAAATTCCTGGGTTAGCGTATAAAAACCAAGCTGGCCAGGCTAGCTAAGTGCAGAGCCGTTGAGAAACAAAGGGGAGTCAGGTGCTGGGCCATTTAGGATAGTGTTTCCCAAAGTGGAAGATGTTGCCTCCTGGGGAGTACTGGAATGATCCAGGGAGGCGGTAGTAGCCTTGGATGCAACTGGGGGACACTGAATAAAAATGGCGCTGTGGGTTAAACCACAGAGCCTAGGACTTGCCGATCACAAGGTCAGCGGTTCGAATCCCCGCGACGGGGTGAGCTCCCATTGCTCAGTCCCTGCTCCTGCCAACCTAGCAGTTCGAAAGCACATCAAAAGTGCAGGTAGATAAATAGGTACCGCTCCGGCGGGAAGGTAAACGGCGTTTCCGTGTGCTGCTCTGGTTCGCCAGAAGTGGCTTAGTCCTGCTGGCCACATGACCCAGAAGCTGTATGTCGGCTCCCTTGGCCAATAAAGCGAGATGAACACCGCAACCCCAGAGTCGGTCACGACTGGACCTAATGGTCAGGGGTCCCTTTACCTTTACCTTTACAAGCATAAAGAAAGAAGTGGTGTAGTGGTTCAGAGCGGTGGATTCGTAATCTGGTGAACCGGGTTCGCTTCCCCACTCCTCCACATGCAACTGCTGGGTGACCTTGCGCTAGTCACACTTCTCTGAAGTCTCTCAGCATCACTCATCTCACAGAGTGTTTGTTGTGGGGGAGGAAGGGAAAGGAGATTGTTAGCCGCTTTGAGACTCCTTCAGGTAGTGATAAAGCGGGATATCAAATCCAAACTCCTCCTCCTCCTCCTCTTCTTCTTCTTCTTCATCATCTGTTGTTTAATTATGTTTACTGACAGTGCTTTTTGTCCTAAAAAAATGTTTAGGGGTACTTGCATTTTGACTCAAGAAAACCACCATTTTATAGTTCAAATCGGGAAAAATAAATACAGTGAATGGATAAAAGTATGAAGATTTACAAAATGTTTAGGGGTATGTATCCCCCTTGAAAAAAGCACTGCTTACCAATGAAAAATAGAGTACCGATGTAACATAGGGATGTGGGTGGCGCTGAGCCTCTTGGGCCTGCCAATCAGAAGGTCAGTGGTTTGAATCCCCACGACGGGGTGAGCTCCGGTTATGTCCCAGCTCCTGCCAACCTAGCAGTATGAAAGCATGCCAGTGTGAGTAGATAAATAGGTACTGCTGCGGCATGAAGGTAAATGGCGTTTCTGTCATGTTTAGCAGTAAATTCATGCTGGCCACATGAGCCGGAAAGCTGTCTGTGGACAAATGCTGGCTCCCTCGGCCTGAAAGCGAGATGAGCACCACAACCACATAGTGCCTTTGACTGGACTTAACCGTCCAGGGGTCCTTTACCTTTTTTACCTAGAGTTAAAGTCATAGTGATTATTTTCCAAATAAACACACAAAATGCAAGTTATAACCAACTAGTGGTCAACTCAGCAGACACAAATTTGTCACTGCATTTTTCTGTTCGTTCACTTAAAGAAGGCAGATTTCCAGGGGGGGGGGGCACTGAGTAATTCTTCTGAAAAGTACAAATCTTCTGGACAATACTCTCCTGGAATGACGTATGATTCCAGGTGGCTCAAGGCTTTGTTTGGAGTGCACATTCACAGTTCACTAATATATAATAAGGTTGTTACAATGGGCCATTACACTTGACAGCACACAAAGTATTGGGCCACATGCAATGCTAAGCCATCTCATAGATGACATTCTCGCGAAGGTGTAGGTGTATCATTTGGGGGGCACATAAAGCATACTGTGGGGTGTATACACAGGGCCGGATTGAGGTTTGATGAGGCCCTAAGCTACTGAACGTAATGGGGCCCTTTATATGTCCAGCTGTCCTTTGTCAACAACAAATTGTTGATGTTTTTTGTGTTGAATATATGCTATATGGTAATTTATGGACCTAATAGGTATCTAAAGCCATTTGCACATGTGGCCACGCAACCAGTCCATGCAGAATGTAGGCACCCTATATACAGAAAGGAGCAAACCAGCGATATTTTAGGGAGCTGGATAGCAGGCGGGGCCCATTTTACTTACATCATAGGAGCCAAAACAACACAAAACGCTATTACTGTATGTAGGTTTTATTTTATTTGTTTTTTATATTATATTTTGGATATGTACATCCAGGTTTTTTCCTTTAAATTTTTTGGGGGCCCCCAAGAGAATGAGGCTCCAAGACTTTGGCCACATGATGAGAAGAGAAGACTCCCTGGAAAAGACCCTGATGTTGGGAAAGATGGAGGGCACAAGGAGAAGGGGGCGACAGAGGACGAGATGGTGGGACAGTGTTCTCAAAGCTACCAGCATGAGTTTGACTAAACTGCGGGAGGCAGTGGAAGGCAGGAGGGCCTGGCATGCTCTGGTCCAGGGGGTCACGAAGAGTCAGACACGACTAAACAACTAAACAACAACAAATACATCTCTAGTTCATTATTCATTTTAGTAAATATTTTTGGGGGGGGTGAGTTTTTGGCATGCACTGTCATGATTGGCAGTGGGCTGCACAGTCACCTCATCTTGGGTTGGAGCAGGGCCCCTCCCATTCCGAGAGCTTGGGAAGAGGCCTGAGCGACCAGACGACAGCTTGAAATGAAGTGATTGAAATGAATCAGTAGCTTTATGGACAAAGCAATGCTTCATTCAGAGAGCAGTACTATTTCCATATAGAAAATATTACGAACTTTGAAGAATGAAATGGCAACATAAAGTAGAATGCGCTACAGCAATATAATACAGATGGAGGATGGGATAAGAATAGCATGGTAAAGGAATGACAAAGGAATGAATCAAAGTAATTTTAATAAGAATCCTAGCCTTGCAATTTCCCTCCCTAACTAGAGAACTAGCCTCTTTCAAAATGGATTTCTAAGTTTCCTAGCATTTTGGAACAAAAACACACAGCCAGAGCCATGGTGCTAGGATCCTGCTATCGCCAGCTGTGTGAGAAGGAGAATGAGGCCATGTGCGCATGTATGTGTCTGTATATGTGTGAGATGTTGAACATCGTCTTATTTTGGTCAGGAATTGGACCAGATTCCCCCCCCCCAATATTTTCTATGAATTTCATCACCTACATAGGTAGGGAACCACATTGTAGGTTACGGGTACCTGCAATCTAAGCGGGAGAAAGTGAGGCTGGAAACTTTGCTTTTTAGCAGGACTTTACTCAGGTTGCTTTAGCATATTCAGGTATAGTATTTAAAAATTCCAGTACAGTCGTACCTTGGAAGTCAAACGCCTTGAGAGATGGAACATTTTGGCTCCTGAACGCCACAAACCCAGATTTGATTCTTCCGGTTTGCGAACGTTCTTTGGAACCCAAGCACCTGTCGCATTTTCCAGTTAGCTACAGGAGCTTCCTGCAGCCAATCGGAAGCCGTACCTTGGTTACTGAATGTTTTGGAAGTCAAACGGAATTCTGGAACGGATTCTGTTCAACTTCCAAGGTACGACTGTAATGTTATTATTTCACATCTGCTGTGGTGTTCTGTTCCTCCCAGCACAGTGTTGTGATGGAGAGAGAAATCACTATCTCTTCTCTTTAGAGACCAGTCTCTATTAGAGAGCAAAGACAGTTATTGTCCTTCCAATTGCAGCACAGGAACAGGAACCAGCCATGTACCCCATGCAGCGAGCTAATGTGGAGTGCAGTCTCCTCCCATCTCTTCAGTGGATCTTGAACCCTTTCCCCAAGGATACTCAGGTATTTTCCATGCATATCTCCAGCCAAGAAGCTAGTCAGATTCTGCATTGCAGATGCCTTTGTTCTATGAATTTACAAGGGATATTTGTTTACGTGTATGGAGGGATTCCACGAGACTCCCCATTGCTAAGTTCTTCTCACAACGGCTCGCATAGTGGTAGGGTTGCCAGACCTCCAGGTTTGCTTGCCCTGCTCCGGGTGGTATGTGGAGGGCTTGAATCTTCATTGGGTGAGAATGCCTTTAATTAAAACAGGGGGGTATTAAGAAGGCTGTGTGTCCAGCTTGCAAGCTTCAGCCTGGCAGAAGCTGGCTGTAAATTATAGCATAGATACTTGCCCTGCTGTGCTCCCCTCTCCCAAGAAATGTCCATCTCCAGGGCCTGTCACATGACTTCACCGGGGGCTTCACTGCCCTCATAGTGGGCCACCCCTAGGTCTCAGCTTTGGGCTCTGAAATATCAGGGTCTGGGATGCCCCTGATCTAGCAATCCTACATAGTGGTGTTTTTCTGCCTGGCAGATCCTGAGATAGAGAGACACCCAAGGGGAGGGCTCTCCTGGTTGCCATGTGTGGACTAGCTCCTTCCATGCCTACCTATGGTGCGGTCATCTTCCACACACTGCCCTACAATTTGCTGGGAGTTGGTGTTGAGGATGTGGCTGTTATGATTTAGACGTCTTTTAATATGTAAACTTTTCACTATATATGAAGACCTGCCTATATCACAACATTTTTAGTTCTCCTATTATGTGTTATATTAGGCCTCCAGATGCATGCTATTAAGCCTTTTATAAGGTTTCTATTTGCACATCTAAGTGATGCGAGTGAGGAGGGATGGATGCTCAGAGCACACCGGTGCCTCAAAACAGGGAAGGTTATCTTCATTCGGCTTGCTATCTCACAACCGCTGGCGTTTCTGATGCAGCAACGGCTGTGAATGTTGCAAAAACCAGAATGGCCGCCTAATCTCCCCAGAACTACATGAAACAGGGCCCAGCCAAGCCTCCATCACAGTCACCCAATATTGGCCCATGATCAAACACTGTGAGCATGCTATTGCAACAAAGGGATTGTGAAGAGGGATGCTTGAGCAATTGATTCCCTGAGAGTTGGGAGAAAGAGTTTAAGAGCTGAGGCAGAATACAGCACCTTTGGACAAGAGCTCAGTATCTACCTGGAGCAGCCCGGCTCCTACCTCTTTCTCCCCACACTCCTCCTTCTGGTTAGCCAGAAGAACAATCCTCAGTAACCGTAATCATATAATTGTAGAGTTGGAAGGGACCACACCAGTCATCTAGTCCAGACCCTCCAAGTCTCCCTATTTTCCAGGGACGTCCCTGATTTAGAGAAGCCTCCCCTATTTCTGATTTGATCCCAGAATGTCCTGCTTTTCATTAGGGCGTCCCTCCTTTCATTGCAGAAATGTTGGAGGTTATGGTAAAGGGAAAGGTAAAGGGACCCCTGACAGTTAAGTCCAGTCGCAAACGACGCTGGGGCTGCGGCGCTCATCTCGCTTTACAGGCCGAGGGAGCCGGGGTTTGTCCACTTCTGCAGACAGTTTTTCCGGGTCATGTGGCCAGCATGACTAAGCTGCTTCTAGTGAACCAGAGCAGTGCACAGAAACGCCGTTTACCTTCCCGCCGGAGTGGTACCTATTTCTCTACTTTCACTGCGTGCTTTCAAACTGTTAGGTTGGCAGGAGCTGGGACCAAACAACAGAAGCTCACCCCATTGTGGGGCCTTGAACTGCCGACCTTCCGATTGGCAAGTCCAAGTGGCACAGTGGTTTAAACCACAGCACCACCCGTGTCTCTGGAGGGTATGGTAGGATGTCCCTATTTTCACTGGAGGGTATGGAGTTATCCGACCCCCAGGCCATCTGAAGACAATCCTGTATAGGGAAGGTGTTGCTGTTTTTAATGTTTTATTATGTTTTTATGTGTGTTGGAAGCTGCCCAGAGAGGCTGGGGCAACCTAGTAAGCTGTGTGGGGTATAAATAGTAAAATTATCAATATGGGACGTCCCTATTTTCATCGGACAAATGTTGGAAGGTCAGGCTAGTCCATGACTCTGCAATGCAGGAATATGCAGCTGTCCCATACGGGGATCAAACCTGCAACCTTGGCATTAGCAGCGCCATGCTCTAACCGATTGAGCTACCCAGGCTAGTCAGAATCATAGAACCATAGACTCACAGTATTGTAACGCTGACCTGACTCCCTCAAGTTGTTTAGGACCACAACATCCCTGGTCATTGGCAATACTGGATAGGGCTGATGGGGGTTATACTATAGGGCACCACATTGGGGAACCCTGTTCTATAGCATCAGAAAAAGTTGCTTGTTTGCCATGTGCAGAGCCAAAGGCCTAGTGAGATTCCACATCATTTTCTGCAGCTTTCTTTTGCATTCCCCATAACTCCATCAAGAAAACATTTAACAAGTTAATGTTCAAAAGCCACACTTAATATCACTGTCCTTTAACATATACAGGGTCACTAGGCAGTGTAAAGGTATATTAGAAAGTTATGGAACTTGATTTGAAAACAGATGAGGAGTGGAGGAAGTTAATGTAAGTAAAATCATAAAATGAATTTCATGTATCATTAATTCTGATAACTGATTTTATTGCTTTGGAAAATTATGATGGCATTCTGCTACAAATACTTAACCTAATTTAAATTTCAGAATACTTTATTTCTAGCAAATCACTGTAAGCAATATTTTTAATCAGTAGAGTGGAGCTAATTTATGTTTCAGATGGTTAAGGAGAGAGGCTTGCTAAGGCAAGGTTGTTGGGGGGATTTTACTACTGCATTTTAAAAAAAATTGTTGGTGGTGGAGAAACTAATGAATGCCCATAATTTCATTATAATTTCCATATAAAATATAAACAACAACCAGCATCATTGTTGACGTTGCTGGTAGTCACCAAGACACTAATTCAGGGTTGGCTAACCTCTGACCTTCCAGATGTTTTTCAAGAATTCTACTCGCCCCTAAACATTGGCCATGCTGGCTGAATCTGCCAGGAGTTCGAATTTGACAGCACATGGGGATCCACAGGCTAGCCACCCCTGCGCTAACTGATGCTGTTGTCAGTCCCCAAGATTTCAACCCTGCCCATTTTCACTGGCATGTTAAGCCCGCCTTGCTTGAAGCGTTAATAGGCATGAGCCACAAAAAGAGATGACTTCACAATAAACTGTTTGGCAGGAGCTCATTCTCTCTGACCCGTCTTTCGTTTCAGCTGGCTCTTTTGTACTAAATGCATTTGGAAAGGATAATGCAAAAGTCTTCCTTTTATAGGCACCAGAGATTAACTCACTCATTCGGTTTACTTCTAGGCAGAGCGGTAAGAGACATTGAGAAATACTTGGCATGTGAACCGAAGTAGTCAAAACACGTGGCGATGGCCAGTAAGGAAGACCAAAATGCTCAGGTAGGGCAGAGCACAATTACACCTCACCGCAACAAACTGCCAACTTTTGCAGCACGCAGCCTCACTCCGTATCAATCATCATGACACCCATGCTGTTTACAAGGTTATAAGATTTCATACCAACTCCGGGTGGAACGTAATAATCGGGTGGCGCTGCCTCTGCATGCTGCGGTTAAAATTATTTTGCCAGTGTGGCATAGTGAGACATGTGCAGTTGAAGGGCAGAGACAAAGAGCCCTATAATGCTGTCTTTGGCCACTTTGAGGAAGCACAGGTACAAAAGGAACATCCAGCTCACTGACAAGGACAAGGTGGGCAGTGCAAGAAATCAGGCTGGCCTTTAGACAGTCACAATTCACATGCTCCATGTTCAGAACACTGTCATATCCCACGCTCTGCTTTTTATACCTGTCCTGCCACCAGAAGTAAGTAATAGTCCCTGAGTGTTTGGAACTGTGTCTGTCAGTTGGCTGGATTTCCCGACACGCTGTGAGGAAAAATCGCTTCCCGCCTCCTGTACTGTGAGCTGCTGTATGTTGTGAAAGGAGCAGAGGGGAGCGATAATCCCCCAAGTCCTTCGTCCCCATCTCACTGAGGCTCAGGGGTAGTAACTCAGTACCCAGGGAGGGGTTAACCCTTTGAAATTATCTTAAAAATTAGAACTGATCCACCAGAGGAGCAACTTTTATTATAAGCTGTACTGTACTATAAAATATCCATTTTAATATGGCCAGTCAGTTTTAGTTTTTTTGCAGTGGTGATTTTGTTTTTGTTTTTTAAATAATAATCCAAACATAAATGCTGGCTAGCAGAAACTGTGATTCCTGTTTTCCAGGGCTTGTAGTCCCCTCATGGTGTCAAATAATACATCAGGTATCTTATTGTGTCTCTATCTAAACACTCAAGGCCCCTCCAAGAGGGTTTTTATTCTGGAGGAGATTGCTTGAGATGCGTGAGTTGTTGTTTTTAAAAGAGTGGAAGCCTGCATGCATTTTTCTGTTACTGTCATCCACTAGTTATGTGTGTCGTTGTTGTCCATCTCCCCCCCCCCCATTTTGCACATTAAGGAAAGGAATCGGGTAGCAAGGGCCATCATAACCTTGATGTGGATGGGGATGATTTACATTTATATACCACCTTTATCTTCCAAGGATCTCAAGGTGGTGTACATGGTTCTCGTGCTCCCCATTTAGTCCTCCCAACAACCCTGTGAGGTAGGTTAAGCTAAAAGATGGTGACTGGCCCAAGGATACCCTGTGAGCTTCTTGGCTGTGTGGGGATGTGAACCCAGATCTGACTTTTATGGTAGGCGAGCTAACGGTCAGTGGTCCCTTTACCTTAACATTTCAGCCATACACACGTCAGTGGTCCCTACACATGCAAAACCTTCTTCATCCTCCTGCCAGGAAAGCAAGAAGCATTACTGAAGTTCAAGGACATATTCCAGCCTGATACAGCACTCAAGGGAGGTGCAGAGCCACGCCTCTAGTAGGTGTGGCTTAAGGAGAGGAGGTGTGGCCTGTGGAGAGTGGGTGTGGCCTAGAGAGTGTTCCAAAGACTCGATAAGGAAGCCCGGATTGCTTCTGGGCTTGAGGCCCTCTACATCTGCTACAAATAGTGTGTATACTGTATGTACATTTTTACATATCTGACTTGGCATCTGGCACTTAGCTACATCCATAAAGAACAAAATGTTTTATATGCGTTATAACACTGGGATACCAGATGGCACCGTGAAGTCCTGTCATTTGCCAACGTAATTTCCCACTTTGAGGTTTACAATGTGTTTTCCTGAAATGCTTTTTTGATGTGTCTAGATCCAGCCTTGGTGTGTAACTTGTCTCAATACATCGCTACTTGGCTCTATCTGTTTGAATGCACTTTCCATTTTCTAACTGCAGCACATTTGTGACTTGGTTATATCACCCACTGACTAAACACCAGGAAAAAAAATATTTCTGGCAATAAAAGCTGTTTCACACTGGAATAGACTCCCTCAAGAGGTTGTGGACTCTCCTTCCCTGGATGGTCATCTGTCATGGATGCTTTAGTTGAGATTCCTGGATTGCAGGGGGTTGGACTAGATGACCTTTGGGTGTCCCTTCCAACTCTACAATTCTATGATTCTACATTCTCCTTCAGGCCATAGTATTAGACTGCTAGGCTACATCCTAGCTCCACCCGTTCATACAAAAAAGGACCCCTACTTCCATCTGGGTGTGCTCAAGCTTGTGAGGGATGGATGTGCTCAATGAGTGTAGGAATAATGGAGACGACAGGAGGTTGGATGCAGGTGAGCTGTGCAGAAGCACTCTGGCAAGCATGCTCCAAGCAAGCTGCCGGCTAGCTCTGCCGAAGCTCCTTTTATTAGCAGAAGTCAACAATTGGAAACAGTAGTGAAACCACCCTGAACTTAACGTATTTCCATCTAAGCACATTTCCAGCATTAGCAAATACACGTGTCGGCAGGTGTTTCCCTAAAATGTCCCCTCCAATACCTGATTACGTCTGCATCCGCTGTCATTTTCCAGCCAAGTGTTATGTCTAAAAAAACAAATTGCGAGAGGACAAAAGGTCAGGGGGGAAACCCTGTTTTCCAGCCAAGAAGGTCAGGAAAGCAGGCATAATGTTCCTGGACATACTGTTGCATGTCTGGTACGAGGTTTGCCTTCGCAAAGCGGAGCATTACCTCCACAAATGAGAAATGGCAACTGAAATGGGAATGGGAGCAGATAACTGGAAGCAGAGACATCACCTTGCCAACAAAGGTCTGTATAGTTAAAGCTCTGGTTTTCCCAGTAGTGATGTATGGAAGTGAGAGCCGGACCATAAAGAAGGCTGATCGCCCAAGAATGGATGCTTTTGAATTCTGGTGCTGGAGGAGACTCTTGAGAGTCCCATGGATGCAAGAAGATCAAACCTCTCCGTTCTGAAGGAAATCAGCCCTGAGTGCTCACTGGAAGGACAGATCCTGAAGCTGAGGCTGCAACACTTTGGGCACCTCATGAGAAGAGAAGACTCCCTGGAAAAGACCCTGATGTTGGGAAAGATGGAGGGCACAAGGAGAAGGGGACGACAGAGGACGAGATGGTGGGACAGTGTTCTCGAAGCTGCGAACATGAGTTTGACCAAACTGCGGGAGGCAGTGGAAGACAGGAGGGCCTGGCATGCTCTGGTCCAGGGGGTCACAAAGAGTTGGACACAACTAAATGACTGAACAACAACAACAACAACTAGAAGCATTACCTTTCCTGAATTATTTCACATTGTAGGGGCTGTCAAGCTGTGATTGTTGATATCCAGCCACATGTTTGGCTTTGGGGGGCAATAACTATACTACAGGGCCCATTATCAATTTCCTTTTTACTAAGTCCTCTGAGGGTTACAAGGCAAGTTTAGGAATCTCTAGCATAGTGCCTGTATTTTAATGTTTTCTTTGCAGCGCTGTGGAATCTTGTACTGGGCATGAAGCTCACCAGGTCATAAAAGAATCCTGCTGCTACCATAATAGCATTTCCCCCCTTACTTTTGACACCTTCTATTTTGGGTTGTTTGTGAACTTTTTATTTGGACACTCAGTCTGACCATTATGTTTCCCTCTCCTTATGGTTTTGACTTTTAAAATGAGGCTGCATTTTAAATTGCATTTTAACCTGTATTTTAAATTGTTTATTTCTTTTTCTTTTTTCTTATTATGTTTTTACTGAAATTTTATTGGTGTTAGCCGCCCTGAGCCCAGCTCTGCCCGGGGATGGCGGGGTATAAATAAAATTTATTATTATTATTATTATTTTGGGAGCTTAGGGAACACTTGCAGTAGGAAACTATTTCAGCCCATGTCATGTTTGATAAGGGAGAAAACGGGCTGATTTCTGGTTCTGTTAGATTAAATTGACTTTTGAGTTATGGTCTGATGGCAAATAAGTCCGCCATCTTCTTTTGGCGTGTTTGCATGTGGTCAGTCTCTGGATGAGTGGGTGGCTGTCTGCAAACTTTATGTACAACAGATTGAGTTTGATGATGGGTACAAGCTGGGCTACGCATGTGAGAAAATTAAAAATAAACGCAGTTAGTTTTCAGGCACAGTCAGATTTGAATTAATTAGGGCCAAATCGCTGATTTGGGTATATTTGGTCTAACACTGCAGAGTGTAGGATTTAGAGAGACACAAAGGATTCCAAATATGTCAACACAGCCTAAAAGAACAGGGATTTGGAGCAAGTCTTAGCATTGATTAGATATATTTAATCCTCTGACACTGAGTGCCACATCCATACAGAGCGGATCACACGTACCTGCCTGATTAGGAGTCTAACTTTTAATGAGGGATCTGCAGCAAAACCTGCTAGATTTCAGGGACTGCAGGACTCTGCGGATTGGGTGGTCAAGGTAGTGGGGACAGAGGGGATGGGGTGGGTAGTGATTTATGGAGTTTTGTGCCTACCGTGAGACAGAAGCCAGAGCTGGAGGATGGAGAGGGGTCTGAACAGTTGGAGACAGGGTAGGAGACGCAGGAAGTGGGGCTGGAGCTGGAGCTGAAGGACAATGTGCCAGGAACTAAGGAAGAGATGGAGCCTGAAGGGAGAGGACTGGTGGAACCCCCTTCTTCCCCTCCCTCACTGTCTCCCAGGACCAGGAGGGTCTTGAAGAGGCAAGCACAGTGACAACGTCCATGCAGAAGTCACAGCTTACTTGCACTCGCGCCGTCAGTCAAGGGTGCTTAAGTTTGCCTGTTGGTGAGGTGCGGAACTACCAAAAGAAAATATAAGAGTGTTTATGTGTTCAACGACAGCAGCAAGGAAGCTTCTTGCCCAGAGATGGGAAGAAGAAGAAGTACTGACTAGAGAAGAGTGGCAGACCAAGCTGATGGAATACAGTCATATCTCGGGTTGAATGTGCTTCAGGTTGAGCACATTCGGGTTGCGCTCTGCGGCAACCCGGAAGTAACGGAGTGCGTAACTTTCGGGTTTCGCTGCTCGCACTTGCGCAGACGCAGACGCTGAAAATGACGTCACACGCATGCACGGAAGCAGCAAAATGCGACCCGCGCACACGCATCCCAAGGTACCACTGTATGCAGAAATGGCTAGACTGATGGGAAAGATCAGAAATCACAAAAGACTGGAATAATTTTCTAACATATTTGAGAGACCACGGTAAACAGTTAAAATCATTGGCAGGATTACAATGACACTTGTAAAGTAACATGGGTTTTGGAACTATCATTATATAATACAGTGGTACCTCGGGTTACATACGCTTCAGGTTACACACTCTGCTAACCCAGAAATAGTGCTTCAGGTTAAGAACTTTGCTTTAGGATGAGAACAGAAATCATGCTCCAGCGGCAGCAGGAGGCCCCATTAGCTAAAGTGGTGCTTCAGGTTAAGAACAGTTTCAGGTTAAGAACGGACCTCCGGAACGAATTAAGTACTTAACCCAAGTACTTAATCTGTAGAATCTGTAGAAAGATTACAGTAAAAGATGCGGGGAGGGGGGGTTAGAATTGGAACCCATGGAGGGAGGGAAGGAGGTCTCAAGGTTTGAAAGAACCACTTTTTAAAGGTTTGAAAATGTTATGTTTATGGTGTACAACTTTTATGTAAAACTAATATTTTTAGTTTTGGACTTGCACCTACCATGGATCCACAGAAGCTGTCCAATCAAAGTTCTTAAGGCAATTTTTTTCTGTATCACCCTGTGTCCCAAATGCATCATTGCACCTGGAGACCAATCTCCCCTCTGTAGAAATATTCAACTTCTGGCTCTGCCTAAACTCAAATCCCCCTGGTCTAATATCCCTAGTGCAACAAGACTGTCACAAGAGTGCCTGGTCCAAAATTGTCAATCAAAAACTTCACTCTTGTGATTTATCCGCACAACAGCTACTCACTGTGGGTTATAGCAAAGCAAACAGTCTAATTTGCCAATGCCTAAATGATATCGAGCGTCAGAACAACATGGCCACAATAAGGAAATTTTGCCCATGGTATGACCATTTTCCATCCTTCCACTTTGACTCTCTGGCACCCTATCTGTATAATCTAGCAGTTCCAAAATATAGGTGTGCCTTCACCCTTGCAAGACTGAATGTACTGCCCTCGGCTGTACTTGAGGGACAATTCCAACAGATTCCATACGAAAAACGCTTATGTCCCTGCGGAGATGGCAGCACTGAATCAGTGGCACATGCCCTCCTCACGCACACTCTTTACAAATACCTGAGGAACGAGATTATCACGCCTCTTTTATTGACCGTCCCAGGTCGCCCAACCACTGCCACAGTCTTGTTTCTCCCGGGAGATCAAGAGAAGCAGATGACTGCAAAGGTTGCAAGGTTTCTAGCTGGGGCAATCAGAATAAGGTCCACTATTTGACTGCTGATTCAGGACCCTAAACTGTGTTTTATATAAACGACTTTTTATTTTGTTCTGTGTATATCGCAATGTTTTTTGTTGCTATCAGAGAGATACGCCAGCTGCCAAGCCACCAGAAGCATGCGTCTGCGTGTTTAGCGCTTCTTGGAAGCTTCTGTAAATTTGTGCTTTGTCAACAAAGAATTAAACTACCAGCCATTTGTCCTCCTTAGGCTGGGTGTGCTGAGGACAGTAGATTTTGTCCAGGGTACATGGGGATTAAGGGGGTTGCTTTGTACTCAATATCTGTAGACAAGTGCAAAATGTAGTGTGAGAAGAATCTGCTCTGGATTTCACCCCTAGAGGGTTATTGTCAGGATAAATGAGCTAAGAATTGCCAAGCGCTTGGCAAATTGACAGAGTTACACTGATAATGCTAATGCTTTTGACTTATGTATTATTACTCATTCTTCACTTCCCTGAGTGGTGAGAACTTCAGGGACAGCTCTACTGGGGGTTTTTTTCTCTTGGATGAGAGAGAACGCTGGATTTCTGCGGTGCATTTGAAATACGTGTTTATTTACAAGTATACCAGCGGAGCACATTTGAATTATGCAAATAGACGACTCCAAAAGCGAACAACAAAATCCCTAATATATTCCATCAAATCCCCAAAGAGAAACTGTTGCATCTCTGTTTCATCCAATTCCGGCAAAAACTATTATCTCCCTGTCTTGCACTTTTCCTGTGTATGCCTAAATTCACAGCACAAGCTGCTTCTTTATGTCTGTGTATCTCTTTCCCAAATGCTAATGGAGGTGACGTCCCAAAGGATGGAGTGATATTCCAGAACATTAAGGACTAAACATATTTTCTTAAGATGCTTTTTACCCATTATTTTTTAGGTAGGCAAAACCTGATTCAGAGTTTCATAACAAGCAGAAGAGCAAAATTCATAACAATGTTTATTGCTATTAATGATAATAAAAGCTTTGGTCCATATGTTTAAGGAACTGCCTTGTGTTTGCCAAGCCAAAGGTTATACTGGGCATTGTCACACCATTTTTCAGCCTCTTTGGCACAAGGGTTTTTTTGCAGCTGCGATGCTTGTCTGAGCAATTCATGGCATCTTGTTAGGTCAAAGTCAAGAGGTGTGAAGCATGAATTGTCTTCTTCAACTAACAAGGTTCTACTGTCTCTCCGTTATGACTAGTGAGCCGTGATTCAGCTCACCTACTACTTGCTTAATGGTTGTGTCCACAAAGTTCTGCAAATGTCTGTGGGGTCATAGTAAAAGTGGTTTGTGCATCATTGTCGCTATGTGGAAGAGCCAATTAAAGCTGTGTATAATTTTTAAAAAGCTCTCCAATCTCTTTCATCTACATGAAGGATATTGAAAAGCATTTGAGGTAACAGCACCTTTCATACTTTCCTAGGACACTGTGCAGTTGAACCTGAATATTAATAGAAAAGAGGTTAAACAAAATTTTGTTGCATTCCACCGCAATCTCAGAGTGGCAGGAGATTCCAGGAGTTCCAGGCGTTTACCCTCGAGTTTTGCTTACCTTTGAATGAAGGACAGCAGAGCCTGTGGCGTCTTTATGATATATGGTTTATTTACACATATGTACAACCTGAGACCTTTGGGAAAGGAGTACGACAAGGCTGTATATTGTCTCCCTGCTTATTTAACTTATATGCAGAATTCATCATGCGAAAGGCTGGGCTGGATGAATCCCTATCCGGAATTAAGATTGCTGGAAGAAATATCAACAACCTCAGATATGCAGATGACACAACCTTGATGGCAGAAAGTGAGGAGGAATTAAAGAACCTTTTAATGAGGGTGAACGAGGAGAGCACAAAATATGGTCTGAAGCTCAACATCAAAAAAACAAAGATCATGGCCACTGGGCCCATCACCTCCTGGCAAATAGAAGGGGAAGAAATGGAGGCAGTGAGAGATTTTACTTTCTTGGGCTCCATGATCACTGCAGATGGTGACAGCAGTCACGAAATTAAAAGACGCCTGCTTCTTGGAAGAAAAGCAATGACAAACCTAGACAGCATCTTAAAAAGCAGAGACATCACCTTGCCAACAAAGGTGCGTATAGTTAAAGCCATGGTTTTCCCAGTAGTAATGTATGGAAGTGAGAGCTGGACCATAAAGAAGGCTGATCGCCAAAGAATTGATGCTTTTGAATTCTGGTGCTGGAGGAGACTCTTGAGAGTCCCATGGACTGCAAGAAGATCAGACCTCTCCATTCATAAGGAAATCAGCCCTGAGTGCTCACTGGAAGGACAGATCCTGAAGCTGAGGCTCCAAAACTTTGGCCATCTCATGAGAAGAGAAGATGCTGGGAAAGATGGAGGGCACAAGGAGAAGGGGACGACAGAGGACGAGATGGTTGGATAGTGTTCTCGAAGCAACCAGCATGAGATTGACTAAACTGCAAGAGGCAGTGGAAGACAGGAGTGCCTGGCATGCTCTGGTCCAGGGGGTCACGAAGAATCGGACACGACTAAATGACTAAACAACCACAACCTGAGCCTACGATGGATGGGCTCACAGCATTAACACCTCAATGGGGCCTTGTTCTTCCCATAGCCACAGCCTTAGATTACAAGAGAAATCGAGCATAGCTCTGCTCCCAGCCTACAGCCTGCAAGCTTCTAGCTCAAATAACTTGATTATCAACTCTAGTCTTTGTCTTAATAAGGGAGGGGGGCCCACCCATTTGCCGTGTGGCACAGAGCTACTTCCTGTGGTACCTTAGTAGCCCATACTTAGGAAGCTATTACCTCACCAAGAAACAAGCCTTGCTAGTGCAGGAATGGTATCCATGCAGGATCCAGGTATTAGAAGGGAGATCAAGCATGCAGCCTACCCCCCAACTAAACTCGTAACAATATTTAATTCTGTATTTTTGGGTCAGATGCTTTATAAAAATAATTTTTTCCTTCCTTTTTAATAATTGCTCTTTTCTTGCTTTGAAGAGTTATGGTGACCTGTGACATAAGGGGCATATGCAGTCATCCCTATTCTTTGCAGTGAGTGGAGATAATGAGCCAAAGGTCCACTAAACAGTCATCACAGGAAATAAAACTTGATTTCAGAGTAAGAGGGATCTTCCTGACTGTTAAAAACCACTGTTGCATTACTTCCGTTTTATTCCTGGAGCATTACATGAATGCATGGATTAACACATCATAGCCAGAATGCTTCCAGGATATGGAAGGATGCTATAAGGCAACTATTGGCAGTAACAACACATGTAATCAATTTTCCTATTGAGATTGATTACAGTTTAAAGAGCAATGCCCTATGAACCCCCATCACTCCAAGAAAATCTATACAAACCATTACTATTGTAACAAAATATTCTGAAGCTAAGTAGCATTAGGCACATGGCTGGAGAGAGGCTTGGTGTCAACAGAATATGAGTTTGCCTTTGCCATTCATGGACAGTTACGCTGTTGCCAGAAAAAATAAGCTGCAAAAGTAGAAAGAGAAGCAACCGGGTTGAACACAAAGACCTGAGAATGGACAGAAAAGTAGAAAGAAAAACAGTGGCTGCCCTCATCTGTCACATCTAGTTTGCCCCCAGAGAACTAGACCACACTCTGCCTAATGCATGCCCTCCAACATTTCTCTGATGAAAATGTTGTTTAGTCATTTAGTTGTGTCCAACTCTTCATGACCCCATGGACCAGAGCACGCCAGGCACTCCTGTCTTCCAGTGCCTCCCGCAGTTTGGTCAAACTCATGCTGGTAGCTTTGAGAACACTGTCCCACCATCTCGTCCTCTGTCGTCCCCTTCTCCTTGTGCCCTCCATCTTTCCCAACATCAGGGTCTTTTCCAGGGAGTCTTCTCTTCTCATGAGGTGGCCAAAGTCTTGGCGCCTCAGCGTCACGATCTGTCCTTCCAGTGAGTACTCAGAGCTGATTTCCTTCAGAATGGAGAGGTTTGATCTTCTTGCAGTCCATGGGACTCTCAAGAGTCTCCTCCAGCACCAGAATTCAAAAGCATCAATTCTTCGGTGATCAGCCTTCTTTACGGTCCAGCTCTCACTTCCGTACATCACTACTGGGAAAACCATAGCTTGAACTATACAGACCTTTGTTGGCAAGGTGATGTCTCTGCTTTTTAAGATGCTGTCTAGGTTTGCCATCGCCTTTCTCCCAAGAAGCAGGCGTCTTTTAATTTTGTGGCTGCTGTCACCATCTGCAGTGATCACGGAGCCCAAGAAAGTAAAATCTCTCACTGCCTCCATTTCTTCCCCTTCTATTTGCCAGGAGGTGATGGGACCAGTTGCCATGAACTTTGTTTTTTTGATGTTGAGCTTCAGACCATATTTTGCGCTCTCCTCTTTCACCCTCATTAAAAGGTTCTCTGATGAAAATAGGGGTGTCCTATTTAATCATCATCATCATCATCATCATACCCCCGCCCATCTGACTGAGTTGCCCCAGCCACTCTGGGTTGCTTCCAACATATGTAAAAATGTAACAAAACATTAAATATTTTAAAAAACCTTCCCTATATAGGGCTGCCTTCAGATGTCTCCTAAAGGTTATATAGTTACTTATCTCCTTGGTTCAGGGGGGTCACATAACTCCATATCCTCCTATGAAAATAGGGATGTCCTAAGGAACAGCAGGACATTCTGGGATCAAATCAGAAACCAGGATGACTTCAGTAAATCTGAGACAGTTTTTGGAAAATAGGGACACTTGGAAGGTCTGCTAATGCTTGCTGAAGCAGACATTATCTTCGCTATTAATTAGGGTTGCTGTACATCCACAATTTCCCCGACACAGCCCATATTCAGCCCTCGCAAAAAGCATCTGGGCAGAAATGACTGAAATGTTCAGGGAAATCCTGACACTACCAGTCCATGTCAGTAGTGTAGATTCTGTTGAATTTCATTAAAAATAGTTCAAAAACTAAATTTTATTTTTATTTATTTTGTTGAAAGAGTTCAACAACAAAAAAAAAACTATTGAAATATGGCAACCCTACTATTAATGAATTAATTGATACCTAAATAACATGGGGATGTGTCCTGAAAGGTTTGTTTGTGTGTGAGGAGGAAACAGACCTAGAAGTAATGACTGAGTGAAAGGCCGCTGTGACAGGTAGATGACATATGGAAGAAGGAAGGAAAAGAATGGGAGCATAACTCAAGAGAGTGTTGCCTTGCTAGTGCCCTTGTTGGCTTTCTTTACTTACAGCCGCTCATCTAGTTAGGGACTGTGGTTTTATTGCTTTGAGAATAGCTCTGAGTAGGTGCAGACATTCTTCCATTGCTTCTGTTTTTCTCCCCAGCCAGCAAGCTCTTGGCTTTATTCTGTCCTGCACCTGCTTTTGATTTATACACCTCTGTGCTATTTAATTCCAGGATTGTTGACTTTTGTTTTCAGTTCATTCTATTACCATCCTACCCTCCGGGCACTTTCAACCTCCACCATTTTATGGGTCAATATATCATGAATGTCCAAAGCATTAATATTCTAAAGTAAGAAATGATCCGCATCTGACTGACCCAGTGGAAGGAAGGGGAAATGACTTAGAATCTAATAATTTGAGGCGACTGAAATTGAACGTAGTCCAAGAATATGTGCAAAGGGTTATGTTTGAAACCAATGTCTATTTCAATCATCTCAGGCCCTCCAACTGGCAGGGGAAGTCTGGTTGGCATTGACCTGAGACAGGGCCTTCTCAGTGGTAGTTCCCTGTTTGTGGAATTCCCTCCCTGTTGAGGTGCGTCTGTCTCCCTCACTATTGACTCCCAGGAGATTTAATTTAAAAACAGTCCTGTTTCCCCAGACATTTGATGGCTGAAAGGCACTAGCCATGGCACCTGTGTAATTAATAAGTGCACATGCAATTGCTTTTAAATGTTTTTAGATGCTCATTTTGAATTCTGGTGCTGGAGGAGACTCTGGAGAGTCCCATGGACTGCAAGAAGATCAAACCTATCCATTCTGAAGGAAATCAGCCCTGAGTGCTCACTGGAAGGACAGATCCTGAAACTGAGGCTCCAATACTTTGGCCACCTCATGAGAAGAGAAGACTCCCTGGAAAAGACCCTGATGTTGGGAAAGATGGAGGGCACAAGGAGAAGGGGACGACAGAGGACGAGATGGTTGGACAGTGTTCTCGAAGCTACCAGCATGAGCTTGACCAAACTGCGGGAGGCAGTGGAAGACAGGAGTGCCTGGTGTGCTCTGGTCCAGGGGGTCACAAAGAGGCGGACACGACTAAACGACTAAACAACAACAACAGATGCTCTAGGTGTTTTTAATGCTTCAGATGGCTTTAAAATGTTTTCAAATGTTTTGTTGTTGTTGTGCTGTTCTAACATTTTTATGCTTATTGCCCTGGGCTCCTTTGAGCAGAAGGATGGGATAGAAATCTAACAAACATCATCATCATCTTCATCATCATCATCATCATCATCATCATCATATTTACTTAAATTCAGTGAGACATGCATCTGAGTATGCACAGGGAATGCGTGCAGGAACCTGACATTTTCTCTTGCTGTGCATTGCCAGTTGTGGACAAAAGAAACCTCTTCCAAAACAGTGGTACCTCGGGTTACAAATGCTTCGGGTTACAAATGCTTCAGGTTATGAACTCCGCTAACCCGGAAGTAGTTGCTCTGGGTTGTGAACTTTGCCCGAGCATGAGAACGGAAATCACACACTTCCGGGAGGCCCCATTAGTGAAAGCGCTCCTCAGGTTAAGAACGGTTTCAGGTTAAGAACGGACCTCCGGAACAAATTAAGTTCGTAACCCGAGGTACCATTGTATGATTTGTTGATGAAGGAGAAGTGTCTCAAGAAGAAGAAGAAGACTTTGGATTTGATATCCCTCTTTATCACTACCCGAAGGAGTCTCAAAGCGGCTAACATTCTCCTTTCCCTTCCTCCCCCACAACAAACACTCTGTGAGGTGAGTGGGGCTGAGAGACTTCACAGAAGTGTGACTGGCCCAAGGTCACCCAGCAGCTGCATGTGGAGGAGCGGGGAAGCGAACCCGGTTCACCAGATTACGAATCCACCGCTCTGAACCACTACACCTCCCTGGCTCTCAAGATGTAGTATTCCTGTTCAACGAAAGGAATACAAATATAGGCTGCTAGGAAATCTCTACTCATGTCACCCCAAAATCCAAAACACTGTCATGCCAGGGCCTAGCTCCACACACTCCTTTCATTAACATTTCAGACACCTTACAACAGGGCCAGCCCAAGACATTTTGTCACCTGAGGCAAACCACAAAATTCTCCCTCCCCACCAGAGAAGAAGGGGTGAGTGAAGATCTACATCAGGAACAAGGGAGGAATAAGGATCTACATTGGGAACAAGGGTGGGAGGAGACCACCAGCGCCTCCTTTTCGCCCAAAGGCGGCATTGGGAGGGGAGCTGCTGAGGAGCTAGCAGATCTCCAAGGCGTGCACCACAGCTGTTGCTGCTATTGTAGAAGCAGAAGCAGCACCAGTGGGAGATGCATTCTTTGCAGGCTGGATCTGCTCCCCTGTGGATCCTGCCATCCAAGACAATTGCCTCACCTTGCCTCATATCACCTGTGCGATATGAAGTCTGTGAAGTGGGGAGCCTTCCCTGAGCATTTTGATTTTTCGAGCGTTCCACAACATACTGGGAGCCTCCGCAGATTCTCAAAGCTCCCCACTTCACACCATCTCCTTCCATGATTTGGAAGGCGACTGAAATAGCAGGACTAGCACACTTGTCTCTGATTTCCCCCTTGTGTATTCACTTGTTCACATTCATAAAGCCTGACAAGCACTCCTGAGTCAAGAACATCTTAGAGTTCCAATCATTGCTTTGTCAGCAGAGAAATACCCACCAGCTGCATCTGATTATGCTTAGACTATCTTTAGAAACTATATTAATTGCTCTAGCAGCCACTAACTGTGCTTGAATGGGTTAATTGCTGCTCTCCGTCACCTGCTTTTTATAGTAGGACCATTTCTTCCTTCTCTGTTCCCATCAGTTTGCACTTCCTGAGAGCATTGGCTGGGTTCCCGCCCGCTCTCAGCCATTCCCTTATCAACAGGCATTCCAAGGGGAAGGGGAGTTGGCACCAACCGATGCTCATCCTGTATGGCAGTTAACCCTCTCTGTTCCTGGCTGCTTTCTTCAATGGTCTGCAAACCTACACTGGGAGCTGGCTGTAAACCTTCACTGGGAGCTGGCTCATTCATGACACCACTTGTCCCGTGCCTCTTTTCCAGGCAAAGAGGAGACTGAGAGGAGATATGATAGCTGCCTTGTTTGATAAGCTGACTGGGTCCACTACGTTTCCACTGCTCCAGAATTTCCAGCCAGTAGCAGAGCAGCAGTGCGTGCTTGATGTGTGAGTGAAGAGAGAGCCAGTGTGGTGTAGTGGTTAAGAGTGGTAGACTTGTAATCTGGTGAACCGGGTTCGCGTCTCCGCTCCTCCACATGCAGCTGCTGGGTGACCTTGGGCTAGTCACACTTCTCTGAAGTCTCTCAGCCCCACTCACCTCACAGAGCATTTGTTGTGGGGGAGGAAGGGAAAGGAGAATGTGAGCCACTTTGAGGCTCCTTCGGGTAGTGATAAAGAGGGATATCAAATCCAAACTCTTCTTCTTCATACACTGTTTCTTTCTAAACTAAACAGCTTTTATTTACATCAGACAGATAAAATAACAAACACCGTCAGAGACAGCAGCCATTGCGTGTGTCTCTGCTGCTTCTCCGTTGAGAAGTGAAAGTAACTCCACAGACAAAGAACTCAGCTCCTGGATGTAGGAAGCTCCTCCCCAGATGCAGGACACATAGAGGTTAACCCTATAAACACTAAACCTCACATGCCTTCAAATATCTAAAGGGCTGTCACATGGAAGATGGAGCAAGTTTCTTTTCTCCTGGCTCCAGAGGGCACGACCCAAACCAAGGGCTTCAAGTTACAAGAAAGAAGATTTCAACTAAACACCAGGAAGAACTTTCTGATGGAATGAACCATTCAACAGTGGAATGGACTTCCTTGAAAGGTGGTGGACTCTCCTTCCTTGGACGTTTTTAAGCAGAGGTCAGGTGGCCATCTGTCATGGTTGCTTTAGTTGCGATTCCTGCATTGCGGGAAGGTTGGACTCTACAAATCTATAAATCTGTGGTTCTAAATGTAAGGAACGGGGCTTTCTCCATCAGGCAACCTTCTCAGCAAAGGCAAACAAAATTAGCTTGGCCTCTTTTGTTGAACTTGGCTACTGCCATCTTTTTATAATTGCTTTTAATTTCAAAAGGACTTGGCCGACAGTTGCTGATAAAGATATTGTTGAATATAATGTTTTATTTGTTTTATTGCCATTGCTTTCAGTGGTGTTGTTGTTCATTGAAATTGTGATGTGCACAAGCTAGCTGTCTTATTTCCATGGTGCTTTCTGCTTTCCACCCAACGGTCTCTGATTTCTATGGAAACTCCATGGGGCATCTCTGATATCCTTGCTTTTAGAAACCGCAAGCATAAATTGGAAGTGCATACAAATGTAGATGCTGTCCATTGCTTTCAATGAGACATGCATCTAATGTGCATTCAACTGCAGATGCTGTCCTTTGCTCCCAATAGGATATTTATTTTTAGCTCCCCAGACTAGTTTGTGCAGGAGTTGCTTCATCCAGCCACTGGTAATATTTTTCCCTTAGTTGGAAGTAAAGCAGATAGAATGTGATAGAAAGCAGGTCTGGGATAACTGTTTGCACCTGTGGAATTGCAATGTCCCCATTGTACATCACCCTGCAGGATTGCTCAGGCACCCTTAGATGAATTATTGGTTTCATTGTTGTATATCATATTTTGTGCCTTTTACAGCTTATGAATACTATAAATAATACATAAACAATTCCATGTTGGAACTGAACGTGTACTTGCACAAATGCTTATGGGGCTCATTTTATTTTATTTATTGTTTCTCAATGACGATATGCCTAGTGAGGCATTTGTGTGAATTTAGCTACTAAGAGGTGTGAACATAATCTACACAATTTGGTTTGCACACACTGGTGATTTGTGCTCATGACTCACATGGCAGGTTCACTATGTGCACATAAAAGCTATGTAGATTAAATAAAAGTAAAAATCTTCTAAAGGATTTAAAAGAAGACCAGGATTGATGTAGTTACGTAGCCCACCGTATGCAGAGGGTGGCACAAAAATATAAGGTTGTTTTTTTAAAAAAAACCAACTCATTCTCAGCCTTGCTCCGAGTCCCACTTCAAATAAAGCAATCAGATGTACCAGAATATCAAGTGATAGCTGAAGCTCTTCAGACTTGCCTCCTCCCTCCCCACTTGGTTCCATCACTGACACTGCTTCCTCAAAGGCACCCCAATACCAGGTGCCCAAATTGTCTGCAATGGGTTACAAATGAAGAGGGGGCTGTGGCAACAGTGGGAGGAAGAAGAGATATCAGGTAGAGGCAGTGCTTTTTTCTAAAAAAAATGTTTAGGGGTACTCTCATTTTAGGGACGCAGGTGGTGCTGTGAGTTAAACCACAGAGCCTAGGGCTTGCCGATCAGAAGGTGGGCGGTTCGAATCCCCGCAACGGGGTGAGCTCCTGTTGCTCGGTCCCTGCTCCTGCCAACCTAGCAGTTTGAAAGCACGTCAAAGTGCAAGTAGATAAATAGGTACTGCTCCGGCGGGAAGGTAAACGGCGTTTCCGTGCGCTGCTCTGGTTTGCCAGAAGCGGCTTAGTCATGCTGGCCACATGACCCGGAAGCTGTACGCTGGCTCCCTCGGCCAATAAAGCGAGATGAGCGCCACAACCCCAGAGTCGGCCACGACTGGACCTAATGGTCAGGGGTCCCTTTACCTTTACCTTACTCTCATTTTGGCTGCTCCCCCTCTCCCTCGCCCCTTTCCTCCCTCGCCAACCCACAGATGTGGGACTTGAGGCGATGGCGCTGCAGGAGTCAGCTTGAGCAAGAAGGGGCGAGTGCTTGCCATCTGGCTCTACCCCTGCAAGAGGAGTAGGAGCAGCACCGTCGCCTCCACCATGGCCACCCCAGACTCCCCTCCCCGGGCACCGGCGGGGAGAATGACGGAGCTCCAGTCCGCGCTGCTACTGCGGAGACAGCTGGCATGTCGGTCTGTCAGACAGGGCAACACAAAATATTTAGGGGTACGCATCCCCCTGTGTCCCCCCCCCCCGAAAAAAGCACTGGGTAGAGGATAGGAACGTTGAAGGGTTTCAGCCAGCCTTTGGTTTGCTGAATGTCTGACAGTTCACCTTGACACAAGTATCTGAAGAAATGCTCCAAGCTTTCTTTAAATTTACATCTATATTCAGCTTCAGCCTATTGAAAGCAACAGCCTCACTCTCTGGTGAGCCGAACTGCAAAATGTTACAGTCTTGGCGTATAGTTAGATCTTCCTTTCAGACTGCGTTTCGGAGACACTCAACCCTGTCAAAGCCAATTTTGACTGAAAGCCAATTCTCCTTGTCTTGATCCAGACAAGAAACTTGAGAATTCTCTCTCTCCCAATTTATAATGTCAGTGCAGCTATATGGTACCATATGCATGTAGCATTATTGTAGTATCCTTGTGAATTGCTTCAGCAATGGCTGAGAGCCATTTGGAAATTCACCCCCCACACTGAAACAAACGGAAGACAAAAATACAGAGTTTCAGGAGGGGCAGAATTGCAGTGGAGGATGATGTCAGCTAAAGGAAAGCTAGTTGCTAGTAGTTTGGAATCCAACATTGCAGCCATGGGACACACAGAACCTGCTTTGAGCATAATGCTTTGAAAACTTCCACAATAGGCTCAGGTTGCATATATATGCATAAATGAACCGTATATAATAAAGACACCACAGTCTCTGCTGTGCCTCACTGTCCAAATGGAAACACAGACCCTGGTAAGTGTGCCTGGCACCCCTAGAATCTCACACTGCTTAGAGTTTGGGGGGCCATGTAACAGTATTGTTGTGAGTTTGTGGAGGGCGTCAGACTACCCTAAATCTGAATTTAAGCAAACCCCACCTTAAACTCTTGGATCTAGCAAGGGTTGGAATAACACAGGGCAGCTTCCTCATGAGGCAATCACTTGATAACGTCTGAGTTGTTAACCTGACGAAAAGTAGGTAGATGGGCCACAGGGAGATTCAGTGCCAGACAGCCAAATGGACCCTCGTTTTAGTTGGTAAAACTAAAGGCCAGTGTTATTTTTTAGGATTACAGTTGGCAGTGATGTACTAGCAAAACTGTGACAGACTGTAGAAAGGAGACAAAAAGCATGGCTGATTTCTGTTTCGTATCCAAGGCTGCTGCCCCTATGGGAAAAGCAAGAGACCCTCTTGTAGTGTAATGCTGGGAAATGCTCTCCATCGTAGGCGCAGGTTGTACTGTATAGAGGTGTAAATAAACCATATATCATAAAGACACCACAGCCTCTGCTGTGCCTCATTTCCAAAGGAAACATAAACCCTGAATAACCCCTGTAATCTCACACCACTCAGAGATTTGGGTGCTGTGTAACAGTATTTTAAAGCAGGGTCTCTCTCTCTCGCACTCTCTCTCTCTCTCTCTCTCTCTCTCTCACACACACACACACACACACAAAATGTTAATAAAAAACAATTGTTAGGAATTACTCAAGTAGTGAGAAGATATACCACAAACAAAAGCCTGTCCGGTCACACAGTTCACAGCAAACAATGAGGGGCTAACATTAAAAAACATTTTGTTCACGTGCTTACAAAGCTTTGTCACACGTAGTTCCATGCAATCGATGATGCTCCATAAGAGTTTCAACAAAAATAAGAAGCTAACGCGACTTTTGCACTTACAACCTGCAAAGCAGCGTGACACATTTGAACAATCTCATTTTGCTTGCAAAGCTGCGTAAGAACTCCCGGGGGAAATGGCGCTCAGTTCATAGTACAACCTTGAACGTTATGAGCTGGACAGTCTCATATTCTGGACTAGGTAATTATGAACTCCAGCAGTTATTAATTCCTTGACCAGTTCTTGGCTTGAGATTGCATGCTGTCAACACAAGAGCCATTTCTACAGCTCAAAGAATGCAGCACTGCCAGTTATTCAGCTGGTATGAATAAATGTGCCATTTGCAGAAAAAAGGTCTAGATTATGCCTTTTATCCTTATGCCTTTCATTCCTGTGAAGTATAGTCCCGTGCTGACAAGACTATAAATTGTTCCACAGATATACATACTTTTGTTCTAATAACATCCATCGTGTATAATATTTCAATAGTATATGAAGTGCTTCCTTGTTACTTATTTTTATGAGCGTCTGCACTGCACATGGCATATATTAACATTTACTGTTCCTTATAATGGGATCATTTGGGATACAGCTCCCCATTGTTATTATCTTCACTCTGTTTTGAAAGTATAATAGGCATACATATCTTTCAGTGTGCATCGCTCGTAAGAGTGGCTGCTTTTAAGAAAGATAGACAGATAGACCTACGGCACAAGCACGGTTGCGTTTATCATTGACAATTGTGCAGTGTATATGAAGGTACAGTGAGCAAACTCAGCTCAAGGTGGAGGCAAGTGTCAGCTGCAGAAAACCCCTCAAGTAGCTGCAAACCCAACTCATGCTGGGTTTGATCCAAGTTGTCGAGATTCATGCAGCCACTTGGAACAGAGGCAGGCAACCTAAGGCCCGTGGGCCAGATGCGGCCCATTCGCCTTCTCAATCCGGCCTGTGGACGGTCCAGGAATCAGTGTGTTTTTACATGAGTAGAATGTGTCCTTTTATTTAAAATGCATCTCTGGGTTATTTAGTCCAGCCCACCACATGGTCTGAGGAACGGTGGATCGGCTCATGGTTGAAAAAGGTTGCTGATCACTGACTTGGAATGTAAAAAGGTAAAAAGGCAAAGGACCCCTAGAAGGTTAAGTCCAGTCAAAGGTGACTATGGGGTTGTGGCACTCATCTCGCTTTCAGGCCGAGGGAGCCAACGTTTGTCCAAAGACAGCTTTCTGGGTCATGTGGCCAGCATGACTAAACCGCTTCTGGCGCAACGGGACACTGTGACAAAAGCCAGAGCGCACAGAAATGTTGTTTACCTTCCCACTGCAGTGGTACCTATTTATCTACTTGCACTGGCATGATTTTGAGTTGCTAGGTTGGCAGGAGCTGGGACAGAGCAACGGGAGCTCACCCTGTCGTGGGGATTTGAACCGCCGACTTTCTGACAGCACAGTAGGATATTCCCACAGTCACCACTCGCGATGGCACTGACCTTCAGGGGAGGCTGATCAAAGGTAACGATAATAAGCCTCACACAAATGTGAGACTATTAAAACTGTTGGATATTCTCACTTGTGTGTGAGAGAATCATTTGTTCCAGAAACAGAGAAGAAGGTTCAAGAAGCAGAAGACAGATTGTTTTGTCTAGACAAGGACATTTTCTGTGGGAACTGTTCTTTGGACATGCACAGTGTGACAGGAAGTACTGATAACAACGGTTCTGTGTGACTTGTTGTAACTTGTTGTGAGTCTCTTGCTCTTAGTGTCATGCAGATAGTTCCCCTAATCCAAACACAAGTTTCTCAACTCACCTCTTCCAAAACTGAATTACTCAAAGACCCCGGGTGATCTCTCTCTCTCGCTTTCCAATTTTTCTACAGTTTCACCATTCTATATAATAAAGACACCGAGGCGGTCCAAATGGCACAGCTGAGAGACACGTATTTTAGTTTCCTAGCATTGCTAAAATTCAAGATTCTTCCAGGAATTTCACAGCATGTAGCTGACAACACAATAAATCTCTTCTTACAAACACAGCATCAGAGTTGATTATGCTTAATTATGAATGCCCTATTCTCTCATGAACTATCTAAAAGAGTCATCACTAGTAATGAAAAATTGATTATTCAGTCAACTGCGTGCCATTGATTAAAATGCTGCATTCAAGAAAGCAACAGGGATGATGAAATATACCAGCCTGGGCTTCTTGCACAAGGCAGTGTGGTTTCAGGAAGAGTAGAATGAAAATATTCTGTGGAACTGGACCTGCCACCTGAGCACTATTTTATTCATCACAACATTTCATGAAAGTGCAGGTGGGCAAAACTTTGCTCAGTAGTAGCGAAGAACTGGGGTGGGTGGTTTTCTTATGAGGTGTCCCAGACAGTCAAAGCCACAGGCCTTTTCTTCTCCCTTCCTCCATTTTTAACCATACATATATATTTTTTTAAAAAAAGAAAGCTTTGCTTACATTGGCAAAGGGCAGTGCCAATGAGACTCAGCCACCTGGCATCTTGATTCATCCAGAGGCTAGTCTGTGTTATGGGCACATCTTTTAGTACTCTACAATGCCCCAGTCAATGCCATTAACGGATAAATCCTATGGAGGTGGTGCGAAAGAAGCCCTGCCAACTGGGCATAAGGTGGGATGGCAGATTTATTTTCCTTTCCTTCCAGCTTTTTTATTTTCACCCTGCTTTTGGCTTCAATGCAGTGGTGTAGTGGGGCACAGGGGTGGTTGCCCCTGGCGCAAAGTTGTTAGGGGTGCAAAATTTCAATACCCAGTGCTTCCTCGCTACAGTTGTGTGCTTCTGTTGCTGGTCTCCATTGGAAATGGCTTCTCCATGTGAACCAGGAAGTGACCTCTCCAGATAACAGAGCAAATCTAATTTTCTTATCTCTGCAGCTGTGATCTCCAGGGTGACGTGGACGCCATTAGGCAGTTGAATGCACATGTGTACTCCACCTGTTTCCCTCCCACCCTCTGCAGGGCCCCGGGCACTGGCAACCCATGCTACATCACTGCTTCAATGGGAAGGACTTTAATGTACCAGTCCCAAGGCTGGCAAGGCTCAGTGCCCATTCTGGGGCTGTGCCAGAGGAGAGAGGATCCTGCAGATCCACAGCTTTCCATGGAATGCTACCCAGACTCCTAAACTCTGGCCCCAATGCCAGGGGAACAGTGATAGCAGAGAAGCTTTTCTCTGCTACACTGAGAAAGCAACACATGCACAAACACACCCACCCACCAGAGAGCACAGGATTTCTCCTTGAGGCTTAAAGTAGCTCAATAATGGTAGGTAGCTCAGCCCCAACAGTACTTTTCACCTGATCCATGTTGCATACTGTTTACAAATTAAAATTCAGTCCAACCTGACTTTATTCAAATTTGTAAAACCAGAAACACCCTCCAGGTGTCCCTATTTTCCAGGGACAGTCCTGGAAATACAGAAGCTGTTCTAGTTTCTGATTTGATCCTGGAATGTCCCGGTTTTCCTTTTTCCTCCCCTCCATGTCTCAGAAAACAAAAGTTGTGTGTGTAGGTGCAAAAACAGAGTCCTGTTTATCCTGACAGTAAAATACCTGCACCAAATGAAGGAAATGGAGACGCTGGCATACGAAGCCCTTCCCATAACTTTGAAGGAAAAGGTCACCAATCCACTTTAAATTCTTTAATTGCAATGCTTCAGCAGCCAGCCTTTTTTTTTTAAGAAACACATGGAGTGTTGATTCATTTATTGTAAATGGAGCCTTACACCGTCTACTTAAAAGTAAGTCCCATGGTATTCAATGGAGCTGACTCCCAGGTAACTGGGCAAAGACTGTGCAGCCTTACACTGCAATCCTAAGCATTTTTACTCAGAAGTAAGTCCCACTGAGTTCAATAGGATTTACTCTGGTATGTTCCTAAGCAGAGACATCACCTTAAAAAGCAGAAACATCACCTTGCCAACCAAGGTCCGTATAGTTAAAGCCATGGTTTTCCCTGTAGTGATGTATGGAAGTGAGAGCTGGACCATAAAGAAGGCTGATCACCGAAGAATGGATGCTTTTGAATTATGGTGCTGGAGGAGACACTTGAGAGTCCCATGGACTGCAGGAAGATCAAACCTATCCATTCTGAAGGAAATCAGCCCTGAGTGCTCACTGGAAGGACAGATCCTGAAGCTGAGGCTCCAATACTTTGGCCACCTCATGAGAAGAGAAGACTCCCTGGAAAAGACCCTGATGCTGGGAAAGATGGAGGGCACAAGGAGAAGGGGATGACAGAGGACGAGATGGTGGGACAGTGTTCTGGAAGCTACCAGCATGAGTTTGACCAAACTGAGGGAGGCAGTGGAAGACAGGAGTGCCTGGCGTGCTCTGGTCCAGGGGGTCATGAAGAGCCGGACACGACTAAACGACTAAACAACAACATGTTCCTAAGCATTATCTCAGTTTCTATTATTATTTTATTATTCTATTATTATTTCTATTAATAATATTATTATTATTAGCACTAGTACTACTACCTCCATATCCCACCTTTTTCCCTGACAAGGACTCAAGGCAGCTTACCACTAACATTTTATTTCATTCCATTTATCTGTCGAAGCTGTTGTACGTTATCCCTAGCCTTGTACATGTTTTCTTTGCTACAATCCTGTGAAGTAGATTCGGCAGAGAGGTTGTAATTTGCTCAAGGTGACTGCTGTAGAAGCGTACGTGACGTCTATGTGTTCAGCGAGATCAAGCATGGAAGAAGCTTCCTGATGTAGAATAGGATGTCCCTGTTTTCATCGGACAAACGTTGGAGGGCATGTTAGCAACGGAGGGTAGAATTCAACAGAGTGAACTATGTGCACAGGGGGTGAGGTCTACTCACACAGTGGGCCTTCCCCCTCTCTCCCACACATGGGGGGGGGGACTGGGAGGAAAGTCCTGTTGCACGAGAAGACCTCATTCCATGCATGCAGCAACAGTTGCCAGAGGTATATGTGTGTGTGCATGCCCAGTATATCACAATGGCAGTTGAGCAGGTGTACGTCTGCTGGACGTTTGCCGCTATAATTCAGTGTCCTCAAAGCTGCACGGAACCCTCAGGCAGAGAGACATTTGCTCCGTACGAAAGCAGGAATATTTTAACATATTACTAAGAGCACATTTCCAATATGAAAAACGAGCCTTTTAAAATAAAGCATTTGACAGTTTGTTGTGAAAGATCATAATTATGCTTTATAGCTCAAACGGAGCATTGGCTGCAGGGGGCCGAGTCATTATCTGTATTGATGCAGTGATGATAAGTCACTAAGAATAAGCCAGGCCTAATAGTTTAATTTAGCTGAGCCCATCTGTAGCTTAGAGCTTCCAGAGGATAGAGTAGTTTGATGAAGTAAAGGCAGCCGACTATGTCACATTTGTCTCATAAAATTACTGGATCTCATTAGCAGATATATAATCATTCAGTTGCTTCAGTGGGTTCTTAATCTTATGGCCAAACGAGATGTGACAAGGGAGGACTGTAAGCAGGATCTCCAGTAGTTTTCCAAATAGGGGATGTGGTACACTGGGGCGGGGGGATGCTTTCTTGTTGTTTCATTAAGCGTAAAGGTAAAGGGACCCCTTACAGTTAAGTCCAGTTGCAAATGACTCTGGGGTTGCGCACTCATCTCACTTTACTGGCCAAGGGAGCCGACGTTTGTCCGCAGATATCTTCCGGGTCATGTGGCCAGCATGACTAAGCCGCTTCTGGCGAACCAGAGCAGCGCACGGAAACACCGTTTACCTTCCCGCCAGAGCAGTACCTATTTATCTACTTGCACTTTGACGTGCTTTCAAACTGCTAGGTTGGCAGGAGCAGGGACCGAGCAACGGGAGCTCACCCTGTCGCGGGGATTCGAACCGCCGACCTTCTGATCAGCAAGCCCTAGGCTCAGTGGTTTAGACCACAGTACCACCAGCTGTTTTATTATCATTTATTAAATTTGTAACCACCCTATACCCGTGGGTCACAAGGCGGTTCACAAGATAAAATCACAAAATACATAATAAAAATAAAAACTCAATAATGCCTGCCCCTCAAAATCACATATTAAAAAGGCATTGGATGTCAGTCAACCAAAGGCCTGGTTAAAGAGGAAAGTTTTTGCCTGGCGCCTAAAGGTGTATAATGAAGGCGCCAGGCAAACTTCCCTGGGGAGAGCATTCCACAAATGGGGAGCCACTGCAGAGAAGGCCCCGTTCTTGTGTTGCCACCTTCCGGACATCTCGTGGAGGAGGCACACAAAGAAGGACCTCAGAAGGTGATCTTGGGGTCCAGGTAGGTTCATATGGAGAGAGGTGGTCCTTGAGGAATTGTGGTCCTGAGCCGCTTAAGGATTTATAGGTCAAAACCAGCACTTAGAATTGGGGCTGGAAACTTATTGGTAGCCAATGCAGTCAGGCCAAGTTCGGTGTAATATGCTCAAACCATCTAGCCCTGGTGAACAACCTGGCCACTGAATTCTGCACTAGCTGAAGTTTCCGAACCGTCTTCAGAGGCAACCCTTTCTGCAGTCTAAATCAGGCACCCACCCCACCCCAACTTCTGCTATTAGCTCCAGGCAAGAAAATGATGGGTACATCTCTATTCCTCAGCCAGGATGGTAATGGTGGTTTCGACTGAGAAACAGCCAAGAGTTACCACCCTCTCCTTGAGTTATGTAACTCAGGCTTCATGTAGGTCGATTTAAAACAACAGAAACTGCAAAAAGCTTTTAACCTGAGATTCATTCCATGGATTCAAATTTTGTTTTTTGCAATGTTGCCACTTGTCATTATACAAATGTGGCCATCTATTACAGAAACAATGCTACACGTTAATAAGAGTTTATAAAATATTACAAAGGAAAAATATTAAAAATATCAAATTATGTTGCTGGGGGGGGGCAGGGGGGAGCCAGGATCAGTATCGTAATCCACAGGCATTTTCATTTATTTCTGTATGCCCTAGAATTGTGCATTCTAAATGTAACACACTTAGTGCCTTTTAGAAGGGACAGCAATTTATTTCTGGAGGATAATCCCATTTTAGAAGGTAGCAATAGATGGATGTATTTAATACAAATATCTTCATATACCTCACATGAAGTCAGTAAGATCGTCAATGGTCTGTGGATTACAAGCGCAGGCTCACATTTGTCTAGGGATGCCATTAATTTGGCTGTTCCATTCCACAAGGGATAAAATTTTCAGTTGGGGCTTAGAAAAAGCTTTTACATCAATTAGATGCCTTACATAACTGGGTGCCGCAGAGGTGGGGGGAAGACAGAATGATTTAGATTTACATCCACTTATCTCTGCAACTCTTTTCTGTTTCTCAGTGTCGTTGCAAGGTGGAAAATCTGGCTTCGTGATAGCCAGAAAATAACAACAACGACAACCATGTTGACAGACCCACGTTTAAAATGATCAACTGCATTTTTATGTCTCCATGGGCCATAACCCATCTCTTCAAAGGAGGATATTGTATATGAAGAGTCCAGATTGAAGATAATCTTTACTCCAAACTAGAGGGTTTGTCTAATTGCCTCGTTTTTTACAGCCATAACCTTGAAGTCAGTATAAATGGTTGCTAGTTTGATTGAGGTTGGTACCAATAATACCCACGTAGCAATTGGTTTTGCACTTTTTCTGAAGGCTCTAGGTGTATTACTGTTGATAATGAGGCACCATACAATATCTGAGAAATAATTCTTGATTCATATAGTTATTGGGCTAGATGTATATGAATCTTATCCTTCGTTTCATGAAAAACTAAGGAGGCCATTAAATGTTCTTTCTGCTAATAGAGCCGTCCTTCAGTTTTGAGTACAGCAGTTACATGACTGATGGAGTACAATTCCTAAATACCAAAATGAAGAAACTTGGATTCCCATTACACACTTCCTCGTGTTTACTGAAGAACTTTTAGTTTTATCATAATTAATTTGCAGTTACTCAATGTGGCAACACAAACTAAACCATCTTTACAACCTACGCCTTCCAACTTGCAAATTAAAATAGCATCATCAGCATATGAAAGGCGAGATACTTTACTGTGGCCTACTTTCACTGGGAAATGTTGACTGCTTTATAAGAAGGCCACTCTGTCATTAAAAAATGAATTAAAAAGTTAAGAGAGCAAGAAGACTGCCCTGCTATACAACCCTGGTAAGGAACACTCTTGGAATCTGGCCATGTAATCCAGTTCTGGCACGTATCATTTTTCCAGAAAACATCTGTAGTAAGGAGCTTAATGGTTATGAATTAATACCCACTGATTGTAGCTTTCTCCACATGCTCATGAAGGGTAGAGTCCAAAGCTGCTTTCAAATCAGCCTCAAAAATATGCTTAGCTAGTCCTGCAAGATATTTATCTAAAGTTGAATGGTTGCAACAGAAATCCACCTCTTCTGGGACAAGAATGGCTTTTTCCTCCAACCAATTTTCCAGTTTCCCCAACAGGCATTTAGCACAGATTTTACTAGTTATGTCGAACAAACTAATGGGACTATAATTATCGGAGTTATTTCTAAGACTCTTACTATAGATAATAATGGCAATAGCAGCAACCCAATTTGAAGGGAAAGTACCAGTTCTAACTATGTAGATAAATAAGGCTGCAGGAATTGGTGCCAACAATCTTGAAAAGAAGAAAATAGAAGGGGGGGTCCATTTTCATGCTTAAACACCCTATTTCCTTCCATTGAGTTGCATTATATGTATTATCCCACCCCCCCAAGCCTTTATAGGTGCTTTGCAATTGATAAAAGTAAGGTGTAGCAAAGTCACTAGAACTACATCATCTAAGAATTGGTTAAGTTGCATGTATGATTGTTTAGATATTGCAATATTACCTTTCCTCGCAGGTTCACAAATAACATCAGAAATTGATTTCTGTGTCAAATCACGCTCAAGTTTTCAGTTCCATTTCATACATTTGTACTTTGAATAGACAGAGGGGGGGAGTTGTACTTTATAAAATGGAACCAATAGAGCACAAAAGAGGGGGCTGGTTATCACTAACTGTGATAGGGACCACCTTGGATAACAGCCCCCTGTGAAACAGAAGTATTTTGAGTATGGCTAGGCAAGCAAAATTGGGAAAGGAGTATGACAAGGCTGTATATTGTCTCCCTGTTTATTTAACTTACATGCAGAATTCATCATGTGAAAGGCTGGGCTGGATGAAACCCAAGCTGGAATTAAGATTGCCAGAAGAAATATCAACAACCTCAGATATGCAGATGACACAACCTTGATGGCAGAAAGTGAGGAGGAATTAAAGAACCTTTTAATGAGGGTGAAAAAGGACAGCACAAAATATGGTCTGAAGCTCAACATCAAAAAAATGAAGATCATGGCCACTGGGCCCATCACCTCCTGGCAAATAGAAGGGGAAGAAATGGAGGCAGTGAGAGATTTTACTTTCTTGGGCTCCATGATCACTGCAGATGGTGACAGCAGTCACGAAATTAAAAGATGCCTGCTCCTTGGGAGAAAGGCGATGGCAAACCTAGACAGCATCTTAAAAAGCAGAGACATCACCTTGCCAACAAAGGTCCGTATAGTAAAAGCTCTGGTTTTCCCAGTAGTGATGTATGGAAGTGAGAGCTGGACCATAAAGAAGGCTGATCACCGAAGAATGGATGCTTTTGAATTATGGTGCTGGAGGAGACTCTTGAGAGTCCCATGGACTGCAAGAAGATCAAACCTCTCCATTCTGAAGGAAATCAGCTCTGAGTACTCACTGGAAGGACAGATCGTGAAGCTGAGGCTCCAAGACTTTGGCCACCTCATGAGAAGAGAAGACTCCCTGGAAAAGACCGTGATGTTGGGAAAGATGGAGGGCACAAGGAGAAGGGGACGACAGAGGACGAGATGGTTGGATAGTGTTCTCGAAGCTACCAGCATGAGTTTGACCAAACTGCTGGAGGCAGTGGAAGACAGGAGTGCCTGGTGTGCTCTGGTCCATGGGGTCACAAAGAGTCGGATACAACTAAACAACAACAAATGCAAGCAACAGTACAGTACTACACTTGCAAACCCCAAATATGCAAATTCTCCTTCTGGACTATGCAAGCCAGGACTCTTAAGAACGACAATGTTTAATTCAATAAGCAATACATGTAATGCCTTGTTAGATGTACTTAATGCATATCCATAGTCTTCAGATTGTTTCTAATTTCCTAGTTATTGTTATACAATCCCTGATGTATAATCGTTTTGTTCTGCTGCCTGCTTGTTTTCCACCCTGGACTTCTTTGGGAGGAGAGTAGGATAGAAATTTAATTGACAAATAATATGAATAAATACCAAGACCTGAGCACCTGGTCCTAAGTGGGCATGAAGTAGGTGGAAATTTGGTCTATGGGTGTAAAAAGTAGTTTTATAATTTGTTCCGAAGTTTATCCCAATATTATAGGGAGGATCAAGGGTTATAAAGAAAGACAGGGTTAACCCAGGGGCCCAAACTTGCTCGATTTATTGTGAGTCCTGAGCTTACTTGTACAGTCGTACCTTGGATCCCGAATGACTTGCAAGTTGAACGTTTTGGCTCCCAAGCACCCCCAACCCGGAAGTGACTGTTCCGGTTTGCGAATTATTTTTGGAAGCCGAATGTCCGACGGGGCTTCCGCCACTTCTGATGGGCTGCAGGAGCTTCCTGCAGCCAATCAAAAGCCACACTTTGGTTTCTGGACGTTTTGGAAGTCGAATGGACTTCTGGAACGGATTCCGTTTGACTTCCAAGGTACAACTGACTAATTACTCATGTATGTACCTTTTATTCTTCCCCTGCTGATAGTAGATGGCTTTGCAAAGATGGGCTTCCCAAGGTGCATTGAGGCATGCAATAAATGCCATATCCCCATTGTTAGACCCAAGGGACAGGCAGCAGGAAAAAATTAACGGCAATTGTTTTCTCTCAGTTTTGGATTTGATATCCCACTTTATCACTACCCTAAGGAGTCTCAAAGCAGCTAACATTCTCCTTTCCCTTCCTCCCCCACGACAAACACTCTGTGAGGTGAGTGAGGTTGAGAGACTTCAGAGAAGTGTGACTGGCCCAAGGTCACCCAGCAGCTGCATGTGGAGGAGTGGGGAAGCGAACCCGGTTCATCAGATTACGAGTCCGCCGCTCTTAACCACTACTCCACACTGGCTCTCAGTACCACTGCAAGCTGTAACTGATCACTCGGGGAAATTTGTGGATATTGAAATTGGGAGTGGGAAGTGCCATTATGCTTTTGTATTTCAAAATGTGACATTATCCCAGGCAACGGACCATGGTGTCTTTGTCCCAGGCAACAGAACCATTACACTAGCTTGGTGTTAAACGTACCACTATTAATTCTTGCTGATGCTATGTATCTCCTCCACCACTGATTGATGAAGCCATATGGTGGTCATCTAGATGAAATAAAAACTTTCTGCAATATGACTGTCAATCCACTCTTTTTTTCTGAAGTACAAGAAACGTGTTTTGTTTTCATTTATTTTACAGCAAAAACCTGAGAGTGTTGGCTTCCATTTTAATTCATATTTGACCCTTGCCACCCTGTGTGGGTGTACAAGTGACTAGGGGTCCATTTTAAATAATATTATGTGCTCTGAATTTTATGAACATTGGAAGATCTTTCATTCTACCAATTGCATTCTGTGCCTCAAGTTCCACAGCAATAGCAATTACAACATTGTCTTTGCATTTAGGTTTCCGACAGTTTCCAAAGAATCACTGCCAATCACTGGGGTGGGGGGAATGTAAAAAACAAAATTAAAAATAATCTAAAGATTTGCTTTGTTGTGTTTGTTAAGAGGCAGCCAACGACACACCAAAAATACAGTTGGGACTGACTTCTGGGCCGTGAAGCTTCCTTAATGGCAGGAGCTAGGATGGAATAAAGTTAAAATTCCATTAGTAGGCGACCTGAATTAAGCAACTGAGATCTACTGGTGCAGAAGCCTAAACATTCACACTGACATGCACATATCATAGAATCATAGCAGCAGACCCTACAAGTGTCCCCATTCACCAGGGACGTCCCTGTCTTAAGAGAAGCCGTCCCGGTTTCTGATTTGATCCCAGAATGTCCCGCTTTTCCTTAGGATGTCCCTATTTTAATAAGAGAAATGTTGGAGGGTATGGAGTTATCCAACCTGACAAGCCGCTTGAAGGCCACCCTGTATAGGGAAGGTTATTTAAAAAAAATGTTGAATGTTTTATTATGCTTTTTATATATGTTGGAAGCTGCCCAGGGAGGCTGGGGCAACCTAGTAAGATGTGTGGGGTATAAATAGTAAAAATATCGTTATGGAATAGAACATCCCTGTTTTCATCAGAGAAATGTTGGAGGGTATGTAGTGTAAGAAGAAGAGTTTGGATTTGATATCCCGCTTTATCACTACTCTAAGGAGTCTCAAAGCGGCTACAGACAACAAACACTCTGTGAGGTGAGTGGGGCTGAGAGACTTCAGAGAAGTGTAACCAGCCCAAGGTCACCCAGCAGCTGCATTTGGAGGAGCGGGGAAGCGAACCCGGTTCACCAGATTATGAGTCTACCGCTCTTAACCACTACACCACACTGGCTCTAAGAGGTGAAAGGAATCTCAAAAGTCATCTAATCCAGCCCACTGGGAATAAGCCCCTTTCAATTCAATGGGACTTACTTCTGAGCAGACATGGACCATTCAACAGGGAATTCTGCATCTAACTGTGTATAGAACCGCAGCCTAAGACTTGGGGCGTACATTCTGACCAGAACTCAATGGCGATTACTGATGTCCTTCAAACTTGCACATACTTAATGCCTTGTTAATGAACTGGGACTTGAAACACACATCCAATATTGCCAGGAGAATCTTTTCACAGGATGCTATGGGTATCTGATACAGAAGGAAAGGACAGTCTGCCATGTGTACCTGGGCACACGGCCATTAACCTATTCTCTTTTCGTTCAGAGATTATTCGTTACAAACAGCTGGTGCCCACCTATACGGCTTAAGTTTTTGTTGGAGAGTGGGAGAATTGTTGGCCTCCGGATTTCACTGAGTAATGGTGCCAGCGTCATACCAGCTAAAGCTAGGAGGCAAGTATGTACATAAGAAATAATTTCCTTAAATCACTAATCCCCTTCAGCAAGTATCAGTTTTTACTCTTAGTTCCAGGGCAACCCAGTCCCCCCAATGCCTGTAACTGGAGACATTTTCTGTCCGGATGACAGGAAAGCAGGGGTAGGGGGAGGGAGAGATCGCACCCACTGCCAGAAATACATGCCAGTCCAAATAGTGGAGGTGTAAGAAGAAACCACCTGCTGTTCACCCATCTTCTATGCCAGAGGATAAACTTTTCCCACAGCAAAAGTTCAGCGTTGATGCCATTTTCAAACTAGCACACACTTTCAGGATTAGCCAAACCAACAACATCTACAGGGGGTGGAGTAGAGGGTTCTGTATCGGCTTGGCATAAAAAGTTCTGAGGACTATTCTGAGCTTCCAAAAAAAAAAAAAAAGAGGAAAAAGTTGGCAGCGAGGAAAATGGGTGCAAAGGTGGTTGACTGCACCAAGTAGCGCAAGACTTGAGGCAACTCAAAATTATACACCTTACATGGTGGTGTTCCTAAAGTTGTGAGTACAGAGAGGCAAAGTTGATAGTGCCTGGCATAATTCCCAAGCACTTCATCACGGACAAGAGCACTTGGAAAAAAGAGGAGAGGCGTCTGTCGCACACTGTGCCCCAAGAAAATAGGAAGCTGTTTTGAGTCAAACTATTTGTTTACACTCTGGCAATAGGTCCCTAGGGTCTCAGAAGGGACTCCCCATGAACGCTGCCCTTCTTTTCTTATAATGGCAATGGCGCCCACCTGAGAGGTGCCGGAACTCAGTTCCGGGAAGTTGTAGCTGAAAAAAGCCCTGTATTTAAACCAGTATCATACCACTTAGAACAGCTGTGGTTTCCCCCAAAGAATCACGGGAACTGTAGTTTATTAAGGGTGCTGAGAGTTCTCACTTAGAGCTATAATTCATATAATTGCCTGAGAAATTGTAGCTCTATAGGGGGAATTGGGGGTCTCTTTACAACTCTCAGCACGCTGAAACAAGATACAGTTACCCAGATTCTTTGGGGGGAAGTCATGCCCATGACGGTTTAATGTGGTAAGATACTGCTTTAAATGCATGGTGTGTTTGTGTGGTCATAATGTAAAATGTGGTGAAAAGTCACACTCAAGTTACCTGTGGGTTGCAGTCCTCAGATATTTAAAAGAAAGAGCAGCAATAATTTATTTCAACACTGCAAATGCCAACAAGTATCTGTACACACCAAAAATTTGTACACACATATGAAACAGGGTAAACAGTTGTAGCGCTGAAAAATTAGACTACGTTCAGAACAAAATGGAGGACGAGTAACAAAATCCTTCCCCACTCATGAATTTTCCAATCCCTCATTAATATATTGTTATGAATTTGTAAGTGCCGGACCCCTCTAATCCAGTAAGTGCTAAAAGATAAGCCAGGCTAGCTTCTTGATGGGGTAATTGCCTGGGTGATGGGCCATTAAGAGAACAAAGGTAAGTGGACTCTGTGCCAGATGACAAATGGGTTGTGTCCTTCCCTCAACTCAACTCAACTCGCAGATAGTGAGAAGGACAAATGCCAAATTTCAGAGTTGAAAGTGGGT